AAAGGCAGTTCTGTTTAGCTGTGCATACAACTGAGGGATTTTATATTTTTATCTTTCTTTTTAATGTTCTGTGATTATTTATAATTTTAATGCTTTCTTGTTTTGTTCAGCACTTTGAATTGCCTTGTGTATGAATTGTGCTATATAAATAAACTTGCCTTGCCTTGCATTAAGCTACTACTATAGCCACAGCTGCCCTGGGGCACACTGACACTGAAGCAAGGCAACCAGTATGTGCCATCGGCCCCTCCGACCACCACCAACCATTCAAACACACGCCAGACTCATTCCAGGCAATGTGGGTGAAGTGTCTTGCCTAAGGACACAACGGCGGTCTGGCACTTTACAGCCGCCCCACTGTGGCATCTGTTGTTCCCAGAGATGAAGTGTTTTGCCCAAGGACACCAGACATCAGCTGGAGTCGGTGGAGAAAGTATTGTGGTGGACTCGAAGCCACGACCTTCAAGCGCAAAGACCAATGCTCTGAGCCACTGTCACCCCGACAGAGAAAGTTGTCCAAACCAAGCAGCTACTCCATTTTTGCTACTGTGACCTGTCCTGCTCCACCTAGAGGCTACACCATCTCTGCTGCTGTGACCTTCCTGCTCCACCCAGAGTCTACACCATCTCTGCTGCAATGACTTGTCCTGCTCCACCCAGATGGCTACACCATTTCTGCTGCTGTGACCTATCCTGCTCCACCCAGGGGCTACACCATCTCTGCTGCTGTGACCTGTCCTGCTCCACCCAGGGGCTACACCATTTCTGCTGCTGTGACCTGTCCTGCTCCACCCAGAGGCTACACCATTTCTGCTGCTGTGACCTGTCCTGCTCCACCCAGGGGCTACACCATCTCTGCTGCTGTGACCTGTCCTGCTCCACCCAGGGGCTACACCATCTCTGCTGCTGTGACCTGTCCTGCTACACCCAGGGGCTACACCATTTCTGCTTCTGTGACCTGTCCTGCTCCACCCAGAGGCTACACCATCTCTACTGCTGTGACCTATCCTGCTCCACCCAGGGGCTACACCATTTCTGCTGCTGTGACCTGTCCTGCTCCACCCAGAGGCTACACCATCTCTGCTGCTGTGACCTTCCTGCTTCACCCAGAGGCTACTCCTTCCTCTGCTGCTTTGACCTGAAGTGCTGTTGCATTTTATTATTAATATTGTTAGCTTTATAGAATGATCAATGTATTTGTTTTGTTTGTGTGGATGAATGTGTTTTTGCTGCTACCGGCCACTTGAATTTCTCCTACGGGGATCAAAAGTATTCATCTACATGACAAAATGTGAAAAAGATTAAGTTTTATTTTCAAGCCACTGTATACTGATGAGGCTGCCCAACTGTAGTTGGTTAATGTTCAAACCAAAATGGCCCTAATAAAAGGTGCATGCTCTGATTGGTTGAATTTTCTTTGATGGAGCCATATCTGCAGAGAACATGAATTGGTTGTGATTCAAATTTCACTTTTTGATTCACCCTGAAGCCGTCTGTGCCATCTGACTAATTCCATGCAAAGTCTTACCTTGTAGACAGAATTCAGACCTGTAGAATTCACAACTAATCTTTTATAGCACTGTTTGGACACTGAAAGACGTTTTACATTGCATTTCCCTCCCCGGTGGTTATAAGCTGCTATCAAAAGCTGACAGAAGCATGGTTAAGAAGCTAAATGATCAGACTAACCAACTACCACTAATCCTCTCCACACACCAGATGTATGTAAGGCAATGTGGGTGAAGTATCATGACACAACAGTTTATAGCCTCTATGCGTTATTGTGGCTCAGCGGTATCCATCACACTACTAACCAGTCCCCACACTGCTTAGCTTCTGAGAAATGACAGGATCAGGCTTTGGCACGCAAGTAATGGGTGTTACTAATGTTTTTCTTTTTGCTCACACACTTTTTCTAACACCATAATTACAATGTTTGCTATTATTTCTCTATGCAGATTTAAAAACTAGGAATGCATTGTTGCAAGGATAGTTTTGTGTGGATAGTGTTGTGTTGCGTGAGTGAAAGGTGTTGAAGGCCAATAGACGTCTGCTTCATCCAACTCATTTTGAACTGTTAATGCTAGTTTCTTTTGTTCCCTAATGGTTGATACACTTTAAAAGCAACTCATACATTTCATTCAAATTGAACCCAGCTTGAGCAACGACTTCTCAAAGTGGAGGGTGACATCATTGATCAAGAAATAATATAAAATCTTTTTCTGTTTTTTCTTTTTTCTTTTTGATTATGTGCACACAGCCCAATTTTTCAATAAGCAAAGACAATTTTATATGTTTTAATGGCTGTGTTTCTTTTCCCGACCCATCCTACTCCCTTCCTCTACATCTTCTGGCTTTCACCTGTTCTTTTCTCTCTTCTTACCATTACAATAGAAGTTACAGAAAGTCAACTACTTTTTCATGGTTTATGTGTGAAAACAAAAAACCTAATAGAGCACGGACATCGCATCTGTTTTTGCTGATTTTACTGAGGCTAAAGAACAATATTTAGTTTTAGTCACACATTCTGTCTTTTATTTACAGTGTAGTTATCTACGTGTTGTTAGTCATTTGTATTTTATCATGACTATCTCATGATATGACTGGTGCTGTGTGTACTGGTTGCAGCTCTGACTGTCACCCTCCCGATCCAGAAATGGATTAAGGGGAAGAAAATGAATGGATCTCATTCTAGTTCTTTTCCCTGATCACTCGGGCAGTGTTTTATAAAGTTCAGTTCAAACAGTTCAATCTTCTACTTCTCATATTTGGTGACATTTTTTATTATGCAATATGCCATCGATTCTAATCCATAAGTGTATGTACCAGATGGGGGTATAGATTATCTTTGGGGTCTCAAAGGGGCCAAAATAAGTTTAGAGAATATATGCCAATGATGTCAATATCCTGATTGAGCCATTTGTTGTAATGAGTCCATTTACTGGCTTATAAGATGAACCTAGAATGTCAGTATAGTAATACGCGATTGAATGCCAAATCAGCATTTGGTATAGGTAATGAAAACACTGGATCAAAATGGGGAAAATATAATTTTTCTTCATGTTGTTTTGTTCCCTGGGCATCCTTAACACTACTCCTGCAATCCAGTCCATTACAATCATCCGCAGCAACATTACTCATTCAAAGTGCACTCTTTGGTCTAAGCAGTGACTTTTAGCTGAAGTGTGCAGGACTTTCTCCATGGCTCCAAAAGGCACTTATCAGCTGTCTGTCCCAGGCAACAACTGTCTGTAGGGGCTGACATGGCCTGCTCGCTTTCTGTCACTCTCCACAATTTGTTGCTGTGTTGTGAGTGCGATGACAAACGGCCCATTCTTGTGTACAGTCCACATTTGTGCAAGGCCATCTGTGCCCCCCCTGCCCAGTGTGCTTAACCCCCCCGCCTCTGCCGTCGAGGGCGTGACACGAGTTGGCAAAATGAGGTAATGTTTGTCTTAACTGAGCTGACATTGCCTGCCACAATTCACATCCTTTTGCAGAAAAAAGGGCTAAAAATAGAATCAGTTTTCCTAATGGTTTAGTCAGGAGTTTGGTCAGCTCTGAGTAAGAGAAAAACACTTCGAGTCAGAAGTGTTCAAAATCATTCGTCAACATTTAAAAGGACAGATGGGCATATATGTAACCAGCTGAAGGACATAAATAAGTTGTTTGAATTTAAAAGAAAACATAAGTATGCATAGATTGTAATCTTTGCTGCTCTAATCAAAAAAACTGTACGTAAAATCCCTTTTTGTGTAAAAAAGGAAGAGGCTCTTGATTCACATGTCAAAACTGTATTAATAGTTTCATTCACGAAGGAGGATGTGAGGCTTTGTCCATTGTTTGTCTGCTTGAAAGTAGCCCCTGTAGAAAGGCCTAGGTTTTGGACACTCTTTAAGATCCATGACGTGGAACACATTTTCAACAAATCCAGTAGACATAGTATCTTTTTATGCATGTAGCAGTCATTTTAAAGTTTTTTGTTTTTTTTCTGAGCCCTCTTACTGGAATGCCACTATACCAGTTTGGCCTTACCAAGCACACTCCCTCCTCACCACCTCAGTTGCACTGTCGGCCTCATACATTCCACTGTTGAACGCGGCAAGTCGGAACACTCAGGAATTCCTTATTTTCAGTGATTTTCAGAGGAGTGCTTTTTTAGGCAAGTATAACATGGAAGCTGAAGCGTTGTCATTGGATAGAACTCTGGACTGACAATGACTTCGACAGTGAAACAGTCAAAACAGCCCTGTCAAGGATATTCTATTACAACTATTCCAAGAAAATGTAGACCGCCATATCAGATTTACCATGAAGGACATTCACAGCTCGTTTTGTTAGCACTTGTTTCTTTTCAAACACTTGTTTATGAAATATAAACTGTTGAAGGATTTAAAGGAGAGAACAGACAGGAAACTGTTTTTTGTTGAGGGCGCAAAGCCATTCTTCAGGAAATTGCTCATTAAGAGACACAAACAGACCCACAGAGAAGCAGAAAGAATACAGTACAGTGCGTTTTTTTTACAAAAGAGCAGAGAAATAATAAAACAAATATAAAGTCACACTCTCCTTTCTTGCATTGCTTCTGATGACTAGACATTCGGCATCTTGAAAGGCTTGTCAATCTGTTTGTTGACTTTGTCTTACTTCACAAAGAACGTGTTTTCACATGCAAGTGCAAATCTGTGAATAAAGTGAGCGTTGGGTTATATTCAAGTTGGGCAAAGACTTGGATAATGAGGGTTTTTTTAGAGTCTGGAAAAGGGGAATGATTGAGATTTCCTGTTACAAGACGACGTTTAGCAGCCAAACGGTAGTCAGACACGTCTGACTTGACTTAATGGGGTGCAGATATTTTTGCTGAACACGGCGACTGTGGTCTGAAAAAAAATCAACTTGAGCAAAAAGAGTTTTTCTGAGTCTGGTGCTGCAAAAGCTTTCCTTATTTTTAACTCAAAGTTAGACTTCATTTGGATGTTTTGTGTTCTCTCTTCTCTCAGCCCCACTTTCCCTGACTGACCGCTCCAGGTCAATCGCACAAGATGTCTGGAAAAATAACAAAAGAAGATGTGGAAGAGATGAGGGAGATATTCGGCAAAATCGGTGAGTAAACTGTTCGATGTGTGTAAAGGGGTTGATGTCGTGTTTTCAGATTTCCATATTTTTTTTGGCTCCCTGATCCCCTACTCTTTTGGTACAATCTGTGGTTTAGCACACTCTTTAAATCGGGTAAACCTAGCCTAGCCTAAGTATTATGATTATTGATCTTAACATCACTAACTGGAAGATTCTAAATAGAGAAACTTAAAATATAAAGGGTTTAATTGACAGGAATAAGAAATGTAATCTTTCACATAATATGATTAGGATTAATTAATCAACAGCACATTTAGCACCTTACAACACATTCAGAACCTTAACACTTACAGCACCTTACAACACACACAGCACATCACAACACTCTCAGAACCTCACAACACTCTCAGAACCTCACAACACTCTCAGAACCTCACAACACTCTCAGAACCTCACAACACTCTCAGAACCTCACAACACTCTCAGAACCTCACAACACTCTCAGAACCTCACAACACTTTCAGAACCTCACAACACTTTCAGAACCTCACAACACTTTCAGAACCTCACAACACATTCAAAACCTCACAACACTTTCAGAACCTCACAACACTTTCAGAACCTCACAACACTTTCAGAACCTCACAACACTTTCAGAACCTCACAACACTTTCAGAACCTCACAACACTTTCAGAACCTCACAACACTTTCAGAACCTCACAACACTTTCAGAACCTCACAACACTTTCAGAACCTCACAACACTTTCAGAACCTCACAACACTTTCAGAACCTCACAACACTTTCAGAACCTCACAACACTTTCAGAACCTCACAACACTTTCAGAACCTCACAACACATTCAAAACCTCACAACACTTTCAGAACCTCACAACACTTTCAGAACCTCACAACACATTCAGAACCTCACAACACTTTCAGAACCTCACAACACTTTCAGAACCTCACAACACTTTCAGAACCTCACAACACATTCAAAACCTCACAACACTTTCAGAACCTCACAACACTTTCAGAACCTCACAACACATTCAGAACCTCACAACACTTTCAGAACCTCACAACACTTTCAGAACCTCACAACACTTTCAGAACCTCACAACACTTTCAGAACCTCACAACACTTTCAGAACCTCACAACACTTTCAGAACCTGGCAACACATTCAGCAAATCACAACATATACACCACCTTACAACACATTCTTTCTTCCTCCTTCCCTCTTCTTCAACACATACAGTCTATGCAGTCACTCACAAAGGGTTCAGCCATTGTACCATGTCTAGTTCTATCTGTTGCATATTCACAATGAGTCATCTAATCTTTACAATACTATCACACCAATATTCATACATTATTTCAATAGTGTTTGCCGAATAAGGAAGAATCCGATTTGATCATAAGCTAGCTGGAGCCAATTTCCTTCTCTTTGTTCTGACAGTGTTAGATTCAGGCAAATGTGTTGCTAGGGCAAGCTGGAGTTTCCCCCACAAATGAAAGCGTTTGGCTCACATCTGGATTTACAATTAATTTAATTAATATTAAATATAGAAAAAACCCAAGATCATCACAAACGGTTACTGAGCTAGAGAGGTTTAGTTTTCAACGTAAGTCAATAGAAGCCAGAGAAAGTTGGAGAAAAACTTTGTCCATGAGCAGTTGAGCACTTCCCTATTGGGCTTCATTGAACTAGTGAGTTGGCATTTTTCATCAAATACAGTCTATTATTTACTCTGTTTATTGTTTTAGATCTTGACAATGACGGATACATCTGCGATTATGAACTTGATTCACTCTTAAAAGAGGCCGGCTGTCCACTCCCAGGCTACAAAATGAGAGAAATGATCAAAAAACTGGACCGCAACAACGATGACAAAATCAGCTTTAATGAGTTTTTGTCGGTAAGTATCCTGAACTTTTGATGCAGTGAGATCGAGAATGTGTTCACACTTTGGTCCAAATTAAGTCGACTCCGGCGCAGCTGTTTATGGAGATGCAGCTCGGACCACTAGTCGCCTCATTTAACTACCTAGCTTCAAAACCGTGCCTTGACATTGTAAAGACTGTTGCATTGGCTTCTGAAGTGAAGTGTTCAGCCTTTACAGACCACGTCCTGTTGAGTGACCCCTCAGTACAAACGAGCAGTGTGCAGATGCAGAAGCTACCTGTCCTCATCAGAGCAGGGGGCCGGCCCACTGGGGGAGGCGGGGAAGTGAGGTCAGCAAAGTGGTGTGAGTTCCAGGATTTAGTTTCAGTGCCAGAGAGAGGACGGGCTTTTTCTGAAGCAGCTCCTTGTTCAAAGCTCCCTCTGACACATCACCAGTGCAGAGTTTCCCTAAAAAATGCAATGTGCCTGTTTTTGAGGTGGTTATTACTAAGATGAGCCGTGGAAATGTGCTAACATGGGCTTGTACCAGATTGGTATTTGTTATGTATCTTTGCCGTATTAAACGCTCTGATCCTGATTATCCTTGTTATCCCAAAAATGTAAGTTTACTTCTACTGAATTTACACTTCAATAAGTAAAAACATGCTCAAACTTGAATGTGCATTCGGATTGCACATACCCTGCCAACACAGTGGATCTTAACAAAGAACAGACAAATATTGGCCCAAATAAACTTTTTCCTGATTTTACACTGGTCCTTTTTTTTAATCAGCCCTTACTTTTGTCATGGAGATCTATGCTCTACGTTTGCTTTCAGTAAATACCAGCGTGCCTGTGTCACCCACATGGAACCAACGACCTTATCAAAGCTTGTGCCTTGGTGCACGCTTTCAATATCCAGCATTATTGATAGTTACTACAACATAAAGATATACATCTATTTGAAGTTGTTTGCCTCCATGTTTTAAGTGTGCTCTGCTCTTCTGTGTCTGAATAGCTCTTTGTGGTGGAGTGCCTTTTGAAGCTGAGGTCATTGTGATAATCACACATTCAGGAAATATCTGAGGCATTACTGAGAATACACATTGTGGAGGCAGCTTTGAAAGACATTACGTCTATTTAGGGGCCAGTCAAAGTCATGTTTTTGTTATTTGTTCCCTTCTAAATGCTTTTTTAGTCATTAGGAAAGGTCAGGATGTTGGGTGGTGGTCTGATAACAGTTGTGTTAAGATTACCAAGGTTACTTAAGGGTTTTATGGCTCCAGTAAAGTTAACATGTGTGTTAAAATCCAAGTGTTACTAGGATATTTTGAAAGTAATTGTTTTGTTCTACTTAAAATGAAAATATAAATGCTGCGTCCGCTATAAAGGGCCGCTTTCAGTTGTAGGCTTAAATGTACACACAATCTACTTTCACCTTGGTCCAGTTTGGCTTGCTTGGCTCAATATTGCATAATGGTAGACTTTTGTAATAGAAACTATTAATATGCTGAATATATTAGTGGATTTTATATTGATGGTTTCCACAACCATTTGGTAGATCACCTTTGAGTCAATACATCTAATTTACTCATGCCTGGAATTTAAATCTACCTTTGGGGCATCTCACTTGGTTTTAGGCACTTTTATTGTCAAACTGCATCTCAACCATTTGGCCTATAATAAAAAAAATAGGGGTAAAAAACATAAAAACAAATTATGCAACAAATGTGTTAAGCACTTTATATGAAAAGTTCTTTATAAATAACATTTTATTGATGTTTGTTCTTAGTGCTCCTACATCTTAGAAAATCCAAACAATAAAATGTACATTACCTTCTTCAAGGAGTGGATGTTAAAGGGTTAATGTATGCCTTACACTTATGTTTAGCTCTACAATCTCTTAAATTCATTGCGTTTTGTTCATTATATCTGACTGTAAACATGTCTGTATTTTAGATTATCCAGGACCTCAAAAACACCCAAGTGGCAAAAACGTTCCGAAGGGTCATCAACAGGAAAGAGGGAATCCTGGCCATTGGGGGCACCTCTGAGCTGTCGAGTGAAGGCACCCAACACTCTTACTCCGGTGAGCAGTGGTTGAAGTCTTCCACTTAAGTTTAAAGTAATAATATGTGCTTTCCCTTACAGTTACTGTTCGTTAATACACTATCCCATCCAAATGAATAAATAAAATTAAGCTTATCTCACCGGAATAATTGCAGTCTTTGTGAGATGCTAATTGCGGCTCTAAAATCACAATGCCGATTCAATTTTCTGCTATAAAAAACACCTCATGACTGAAAACCATGGTCTGTTTTTTTACATATTGTCATTATTTGCCGGTGCACTTCTTGCAGAGGAGGAGCGGTTTGCCTTTGTCAACTGGATTAACTCTGCTCTGGAAAATGATCCTGACTGTAGCCAAGTGCTGCCTATCGACCCCAACACAGACGCCTTGTTCACATCTCTTGGAAACGGCATTGTCCTCTGGTGAGTGTTTGTCCACAAATCTTCTAACAATTTGTAGATGCATCAAGTTGTAACTATTTTGTTTTGTGTATTTGTGCAGTAAAATGATCAACTTGTCCGTCCCAGACACTATTGATGAAAGGACCATAAACAAAAAGAAGTTAACTCACTTTACGACACAGGTTCGTTGCTATAATAATGCTGTTATTACAAATGTGTTATGAGTAATATGAGTGTTATGTTGACCTGCATGTGTCTTTACCTTGAAGGAAAACCTTAATCTGGCGTTGAACTCGGCTTCGGCTATTGGCTGTCATGTCGTAAACATCGGGGCAACAGACCTTAAAGATGGAAAGCCTCACCTGGTGCTGGGACTCCTTTGGCAAATCATTAAGATTGGCCTGTTTGCAGATATTGAGCTCAGCAGGAATGAGGGTACAGAATTGTGCTTTATTTTCACCTTAAGATGTTTGTTAGTGACTTACGTGACTGAGCTTTTTTCAACAGCTTTGGCGGCTTTGTTGAGAGACGGAGAAACTCTGGAGGACCTAATGAAGCTGACTCCAGAAGAGCTGCTCCTTCGCTGGGCAAACTATCATCTGGAAAACGCAGGACAACAGAAAATACACAACTTTGGCTCTGACATAAAGGTTCATAACTTATGCAAATAAACAGCATCTGAATAGTGTTGTCACATAAATGGAGAACTAAAGCAAAACTGCCGACATTAGCAACCACAGTGTTTAAAATTCATATTTGAAATATGAATATATATATATTTTAAATGCTTTTTCCTGATGTTTTAGGACTCCAGAGCGTATTTTCACCTCCTGAATCAGATCTCTCCTAAAGGCACAGAGGAGGACCAGCCGCGCATCGACATTAACATGTCGGGCCTCAGTGTAAGCTGCATTCAGTGGATTGTTACGTCTTACTTTTCCCAGTGCGTGATGGACATGTGTTTTTCAGGAGACTGACGACAAGAGGAGAGCAGAGGCCATGCTGCAGCAGGCCGACCGCCTCGGCTGTCGCCAGTTTGTGACTCCTGCGGACGTCGTGAGCGGAAACCCCAAACTCAACCTCGCTTTTGTGGCCAATCTTTTTAACAAATATCCTGCTCTGACTAAACCAGAGAATGAAGACATTGACTGGGGGTTACTGGAAGGTACTTTGATAATTGTGATAAATGGAAATGAACCTAAGCACTATGAGAAAAAATTTGATTGTTTTATTTTAAAAAAAAAAATAATAATATATATATTTCAAAAAAAGAAATGTATATATTTCAAAATTAAATTAGGTAAAACATATTGAACAATTTGATTTTCAGATTTGACATGTGTCAATTATCTTGGTTCTTCTAAAGTCTCTTGATTCTTTGCTGTAGGTGAGACAAGAGAAGAGAGGACCTTCAGAAACTGGATGAACTCGCTGGGAGTAAACCCATCCGTAAATCATCTATATGTGTATGTGCTGCACATTGTTCTCAATGTTGTTCCACTCATCAGGAAATTAAATGACACCAATTGAAGATATCTATTTGTGACTATTTTAGAGACCTACAGGACGCCATTGTCATTCTTCAGCTATATGAAAAAAGCAAAGTTCATGTAGACTGGAGTAATGTCAACAAACCGCCTTACCCCAGGCTTGGAACAAACATGAAAAAGGTCAGTAACATGTAACTGTTAAAGAAGCTTCTTTACGTTAAATATACATCTATGACACTCGTGACTTCATATTGACTAAGTAGAGTCTGAAAAGAAAGCAGGTTGTGAACTTCCTGTTTGTTTTATTTTACTGCTCAGCTGAGTGCAGCCCTTTTGAAACTCTAAAGCGTTTTTGAAATGTGCTTTATACAGGACTAGATTTTTTTTACTTTGCATTCAGTCCCGCCAGATGGTTACATCAAAGAGGCAGAGCGTAGATCCAAGTTTCTGCAGATGTCACATAAAGATCCCTCAGAGAAAAATGCCTGCTGCCTCATGATCTAAGTATCAAAGATGTAATTGAAAAAAAAAAAAGGTGGACGAAGATGCAAATTCTGGACGACTTCTGACTCTCACCATTCGTCTGGTATCACTGGGACCAAAGCCAGACCAACCTTTGCTCATATGTGTGACCTCAACGCTCCATGGAAAATCAAATGTGTCTAGACACAGCAACATTATATGTTCTTAAAATGCACACACTTATGACCAATCAGAGCGCTTCTTTGTCGAAGAATCAGATTACAGCCGGAACCTTTTCTGAGAGACTACTGTCCTTCAGACATTCTGCTGATTCTGCCATACCTGCCCCCAGCTTCATGAGGCCAGTGGGCTGGTGAGCGCAGGCTTTTAGGGAATAAAAATTATCCAAACATGAATCACTCTAAATCTTAAACCTCTATGATTTTGTAATAATATTGTTGAAATAAGTACCGTAATTTCTAGTTCTTTGTTTCAGGTAGTTGTCAGAGCAGAGTATATTATCATCATTTATTGTCAAACTAGACTGGTGAATGAGTACTGGCATGGAACTGTTAATCTTGTTGTGAGCAGTTAAAACGGTCATCTATCTGTTTACATTACAACATGGTAACTGTGGCTTATATTCTAGTGTGGTCTGTTTTGTTTTCAAATGTAGTTGATGTGGCTTAGATACAGGTGCACCTTTTTGACAAACGTAAAAGTTTGGTAACTTTTATGACTCTTGTAACCATTTTTCTTTGTTTTTAGTTGGAAAATTGTAATTACGCTGTGGAGCTGGGAAAAACGGCAAAGTTTTCTCTTGTTGGCATCGGCGGGCAGGACCTGAACGATGGCAATCAAACTTTGACTCTGGCCGTGGTGTGGCAGCTCATGAGGAGGTGAACTCTTAATGTGGTACAGTTGTATGTACTCGTTACTCTATGTAAATACATTAACAGTCTTTATTGTCTCTGCTCTGTAGATATACGCTGAATGTATTAGAGGACCTCGGAGATGGGGACAAGGTGAATGATGACGTCATTGTGAAATGGGTAAATAAAACATTAGCCGAGGCTAAGAAATCCACCAAGATCTCTAGTTTTAAGGTAAACCCAATTTAAGTTTTCAATGAGAAGTGTTGTTTCCATTTCCAGTAAAGGGAACATTAATTGTGTTTATCTGGGTGTTTAGGACAAAGAGATCAGCAGCAGTTTGGCTGTACTGGAACTAATCGATGCCATTCAGCCTGGCAGCGTCAGCTTTGATCTGGTTAAAACAGGACGTCTGTCTGACGATGACAAACTGGATAATGCCAAGTAAGTTTGTTCATAACAGGATTTTTAGGCCGACAGTTACTGTCCATTGAGTTAAAACAAATGGGTTTCTTGTCTTCCATGTCTTGTTCTGGAAATTGGGTTCAATGATCTGACCTGTCATTTCTAGATACGCCGTCTCCATGGCGAGGAAGATTGGCGCCCGAGTGTACGCTCTTCCCGAGGACCTTGTGGAGGTCAAACCTAAAATGGTGATGACTGTTTTCGCCTGTTTGATGGGACGAGGCATGAAGAAGGTCTAAGGATCTCCTTCAGTGACTCTTCAAACTCAGCCACAACAGACCATTAGCATTTGACAGCTCTGCCCTATTGAAGGAATGAAGAATGTTTCGTTTTTTTAAACGCTGACAGCCTTATGTGATGTAAGATTCAAAGTTAGTTACTGTGTTTACCTAAGAGTAATGTGCTGTCCAATTTAAAGAGGGCCACTTTCTAAAGGGACGAATTTCTGAGGAAAACTGGTTACTTCTCATTATTCAAGTCTTAAATAATGTACAATGCTGTTTTGTAAAATGATTGTTATAGCTGCAAGGTTGTTTACATATTTTGATGCAGACTGATAAGTAAATATTATTCCTGGCTAAAGCATTCCTCAAGTCTTCCTAGCATGTTGGGCTGAGTGACTCATTACCACACGTACAACCATGTTTTAGCTGTTTCTCAAAGCCATACGCTCATTTCAGAGCATCATGTTGTCATGGTGATGGCTGTTTTTTGGTGCCTTGACGATGTTGAGGAGTGGGCTTCAGCTGCGCCGCATTATCATCTCTGCACTTTTTATACTTAACATTACCAAATATAGACAATAATGTACTTCCAGGTTGTTTTTTTTGCAATACTCTAAGACTATGGCCAAATTGTATTTGGTTACATATTCATGTCTATTGTCATGCTTCCATCTAACAATAAATATGCAACTCAGAACTGATCATGTATTTTATTCTTCCAAAGCTCACTTTCAAAGCTTAACATATCATGTGTTGAATAGTTATGAGGTTAAGTTGTAAAATGCTTGTATAATTTACAGAACTTGTTATTTGAGCATCACCATAAACTGCTTCCAAAATTTGTAATTAAGTTCACTTCAGTAAAGCGTTTCAGGTTACTTTTAATCTTGTTGACTGCATCACTGTATGTTTTATTGCTGTTTGTCTCGCCTGAATCGCTTCCCTCATGTTTCTGCTCTTCCCCTTCAGTGCCAGTGTCCAAAACTGAAAGTGTTTGTTTTATGCTGCAGTAAATGTCTCCTTTTGAAAGACTATAAATGCCAATATAGTCCCACTCTCTGACTAGTTTTTCTTTGAGCTGTTTTGTATTATGATGCATGTTATATTTAGTAAAAGGTACCTACCTCTTCTTCCTTGTTGACCTCTAGTGGCATTAAACTGGCATTAGTCTTTACAAAGGTATTTTCCTGATCTCAAAATACTACTGTTTAAATGTATTTACAGGGTCTGGCCTCCTGCTGGTGCTTCGAGCCCAGAGTCAGGACTAAACAAACCTTACATTTTGCCTTTTACCAAGTTGTTTCATGAAAGATATATTTTAGTTCCATACAAAGTTCCACCCCTTCTTCCAACTGTACCGCCAATAACAAAACACGTTGAACATTATAACAAGAGGAACATTTTGACACTTTCAAAACAGAGATATCTATTTTTGAAGTTTAAATAACAAAATGTATGTATGTATTCGGATGCAGCCACTCTGCCTACATGTCCCAGAGTGCTTCAGTGCAGGCCTCTTGTGTACGTGGAGGGATGGATACGCCTCTCAGGTGAAGCTCACTCCTCCACAGACTGTGCACAGACTCACACCACACAGACATGCCTGGATCCGGGCATCTCTGTCCAGCAGGAGTCCTCACAACACGCACAGCCGGAGGAGGGATGCAGTTTTCAGAGATGTGATGACTTTGGCAGTGACTAAAAAAGGAGGGTCAAGGTAAGTTTATTCCTATTGATTATTTAAACCAGATTTATCACATTACTATGCGCAGAAGCCTCATGCCAATCTTATAGCTGAATTCCTTAAGGATTTTGTTTTGGAGAATAACTCAAAAAGAAACTCCTGCATCGCATAATACTATTACCAAAACTATTAATCTGAATTCTTCGGTGATAAAAAGCCAATGTGTAGATATGGGTTAAAAACAAGGTGTTACGCGCGGAGCTCAGGGCAGCAGCGCGGTTTCCTGGAGATGATTCTCTGGGGGAAAGACAGCTGCCTCTGCATCTGACTGTTTTCACTAATGATCCACCAATTAGTCTCACTCAGCGGTAACAGTTGTCTAAACAGTCTAAACAGCTCATCATGCGCCAAGTGTATGTGAGCGTGCATCCAAATGAGTTTGTTTTAGTTCAGCGATCCTGAACAGCTGAAGAGATGGAGCAGAGACCTACATCAGCCAGTCCCTTTGGAGCTGATGGTCCCCAAGATCATCATCATCATCAAAAAGTACAATAACATCCATAAACACCGTGACTTCTGGTGTCAAGGCAAAGCATGTCTAGTGTTAAAGTGAAATCCTGATTACATTGTTCCTTTCGCTCATAAGGACCATAAGACTATTGGAGTTTTGGTAGCCTATTCTTTTGTCAACAAATCAGACCAAAGCATGCTGTCTCTGTCTTATAAGAAAACGTCTTATTTTGTTGCATACTTTTAAGAGCCTTGTGAGTCACTATTTGACGCTTTAGGCTGAGATCTTATTGGCTGAGTCTGGGTTCTATCTTTTTCCTTTTTTCTGTCTGGGGTAGAAAAAAAACATACATTAGAGAGATTATAGATGGAACTGATGAGTTAATTGGATTGTACCACTTAGCTCAATTTCTGTGGTTTGAAACTTAGGTACCTCAGCTTTAACCTAATATGTAGCAGTAGCCAGTAACTGCTTTGCCAAGACAAGACAAGACATCAGAACCTTTATTTAGTCCACATTAGGCAAATTCCTGTGTTTGTGAAGGAGCAGTTGAAGAACAAATTACAATTGAAAATATAATACATTTCAAACTCAAATCTGTAAATACATCAAAAGGGATTCAATAAATACATTGCATACTTGTGCTGGTGCTACGTGAATTGGGTGCAGCTCTGACTACCGCCCCCCGCCGACCCAGAAATGGATTAAGGGGAAGAAAATGGATGGATGGATGCATTGTATACTTTTATGTGCTGTTTCTCAGGATGCTGTAACATGACAGACTGGTGATGAAGATGACAGGGCAGTCAGTGGAGAGAGACCCGTCACCTCACAACCTGTCAGTCAAAACCGCTCTGGAGGATGAGATCGAGCAAGCGGAGAGCATCCTCAGCAGGTGAAGTCGAATTATGTGGCCTATATTTAAATGCATATCACAACAACTTTGTCATAGAAGTAAATGTGATTTCAATAGCGGTGAGTAAAACCACTACGTTAGACATGCAAAAAGTAATCATTCTGTTTTATCTCGTAAGTCTGCCATACAAAGGCCTGGATTATTATGGAGCTGTCGTGTTTTTTCATTGTTTTGCTTGTTCACTAATTATTTTAATTACATTTCAAGGATTTCTATGGAAAAACTGAATCAAAAGCCATTGAGTAAAGTAGCTGAAGTGGTTGCTATTTAATTTGATATTAAGCCATATCAAACTAGCAAACACAGTTTATATATACTTTATTAATTATTAATTATTTTTCTGGGTGACAGTTTGGGTCAGTGGCATAATATATATTTTTGAGAGCCCTTGTATTGTCGCTCTTTTTGGTTATTGATCGACTGGACAATATTCTAATTTTTGGAGGTTCATCTATATTTTGTTCTTTGTTAAGGGAGTGAGTAATTGCAGTCTTTTCAATTTGCCTATTGCACCTGGCGTTAGAAAAGCCTGACCTGAGCCTGGGAAATTCTCTCTTCTCTCTGGTTGTGATGTTTCAGGGTCCCGTCGGTCTGCGATGACACGTGCTCAGAGCTGCAGAGAGTGGCGGCACTGGACCGAGGACAGTCGAGAAATTCTTTTCAAAGGGCGGGCGCCATCTCAAGGTAATGTCAAGGTGCCTCTCGGTAGTAGAGGGAAAAGTCCATAAAAAATGGAGTTCAATGTACGTCAAACATTATGTTAATACATAGAATGCTCTAATTCATTAACAATTACAGTTCTTATTTTATGAATATTTAAGATGAGAATGCTTAAGTCAAAGGTGCATAAAGCGGTAAAATTGTACAAATATACAGTAACTGAAGTGTCCCTAGTGAGAGCAAAATGATTTGAGGAAACTACTGAAGTAAAAGTAACATCTGATTTGGAATTTGCAGAATAATGAAATACATTGGGTTAATTCAAACAAGAGTGTTGTTCAGGGTCAGAGCCTGTGTCTTGTCTGGATGGACTAATGTGAATGTGTTTTGTCTTGTGTCGAATGAGTGAGAGAGTTGGAGCCAAATAAGCGTCTGCTTCTTCCAACCCCTTTTCAGGCGGTGTATCCTGTTTAAGATGTACTTGTGTTTGAAATAGATTTAAAAAAATAAGGTTCAAAACAACATGGACGAACCACTGACTCATGTTTGGAAGATTGTGGTGTATTTTCTCTTGTTTCTCTTAGCTAATCTCCTTTTTACATATTGTATGCCCTGTTTGTATCAGTCTTGAAATCAACCCATAACTCCTCCACCATTACCTGTTGGAAAAAGACACGTGATTGCAGATAATGTGCACTGTCCCATTTTAAATAACCTAATACGCTCTTGTAAAGCAAATATAACATCATTCTTTCTACATTAATGCTATTGTGATTAATATCTATCTCTAGTTTGAACCCTGAAGTCTGAAGGATGCTATAATGACCTCTGAAGCCTCATATGCAACACACTTGAAACAGTTTGTTTTCCCTTAAACATGAGTCATATCATTTATCCATCCAGACTTTAAACTGTGGATGAAAAGTATAATACCATTTATGATTTTAGTGTTTTATTTATATAGGACATGTGCACGATGAATGAGTTTGCTCCAATGTTATAGGATGGTGAAATGTGTGCGTTTGTTTTCTACCGTTTTTAACATGGCTGATAAATGTGTCTTCTAACGTGGTGCAGACTGGTGGGCCTGGTGGTGAGACTGCGGGAGTGGGCACACAGGAGTCTTTTGGAGGAAGAGGAGCGGCCCGACTCCTTCCTGGAGCGTTTCCGAGGTCCTGAACTCAGAACTGCCCCGAGCCACAACAGCAACAACCCCCAAGACACCAATGATGACCCCAAACAAATGTGTGTGAACTATTTTTATTGCTGTTGTTATTGTCAGATACAGTATAGGGAATCGATGAAGTGAAAAATAATTTGCTGATGTAGTGTAGACACAAAAAGAAACATAGAGCGAGAGAGAGAGAGAGAGAGAGAGAGAACATAGAGAGGCTATATGTCTATGTTCAATTATCATTTTTTTCCCCTAAATAATTATGTTTGTCCGATAATAAGGAGACTTGTAAAATGTTGTGAACAAATCAGATCACAATATGCCATCTTCATCGTATTAGCTTTTGCATAGTCGTAAGAAAGAACTCTGTATTGCACTATTTGACTCTTCAGGCTCAGAGCTGATTCACTGAGTTAGGGCGGTCTTCTATGTCCTTTTTTCTGTCTGAATAATATGATCTAAAGATATGAATGAGGCCAAAAATACATGCATGTGAAAACTAGTCATAGCAGCAAACTGTTTTGAGACCGAGAAACCATTGTAGTTCCGTCAGTTCAAAGTTAGGCGCCCTACCTTTAATAATAAGGGAAAGGTGATGTGTGATCTTTGCTACTTCTCTTCAGCTTTGCGATAACATTACATTGATACATGTGAAGAAATCTAGTTGTAAATATCTACATGTTATAGCCATTTCAGTATTTATGCATTTCACATACTGTATCTTCATATTTTTAGGAAAAAGTGGGACTTGTTTGTGGTGTCTCCGTCTGACAACGCTTACTACCGTTGGCTGTTCGTTATCGCCGTAGCCGTCTTATACAACTGGTTTCTTGTGGTAGCAAGGTGATGAGACTTCTACATTGTATTTTTCCACATATACTACGCAGAGTGCCTCATCTGTTTTGTTCTCTTTCCAGAGCTTGCTTTGATAAGCTACAAGTGGATTATTATGTGTGCTGGCTGGTGCTGGACTACCTCTCTGACACCGTGTACTTAATGGACACTTGTGTTCGCCTCCGCACAGGTAAAGCTGATGGCGCGACATGGTTTCTTTGTAGGAATGTGATGATATGATTTACATACAATGTCGCTGTAGCCTTGATTCAGATTGAGGTCATGGCTCCAAATACTGTAGAAACCCATCGTTGCAGCAATAGCATTTATTTAGATTGAATTCGTATAGGCCGATATGAAAGACTTTCATATCGGCATGTGTAGGGTTACATGATTTTGGCAACATATCACAGTGCAAAAAAAAAATATCAACCATGTTTGGGAATATATCAACCAATTTCAAGAGCGTTACATTACTGTCAAAAGCTTAAACAGTTTCACCATGGCTGAAAAGTTGCACATCTGTATACAAACAAAACACTGGTGTACGCAAGTACAGTAGGCAAGAGTTATTTTCTTCCTTTTCAACATTGGAAAAACACAACAGTAGATAAATTGGTTAGCTAATAGCAATTTTTATCATAATAATAATCAATTCACTGCAAAAAAGAAATGGAAATATATTTATTCCATTTGCAAATATTCATTTAAGTCAAAATATTGATACATGAAGATACATTTTTGCTAAGTCAACCAATTGCTAGCTTATTTTGTTTTTGTTTTATTTTTGTCTTTTTTACACTAAAATAGCTTTCTTTCAAATTATGTTTATTGTCAAAAGATCTAAAAATTATGGCAAAAAAATCTCTAGGAATAACACTAGATTTTTTGAAAGACACAGATACAGCCAAGGGGTTTTCACTGTGGTTAGTTTTATGTTCCTTGCACATTTTGAAGTAGAGGTACCACCCTCACTCACTCTGCTCTTAGCTCAAAACGTCAAAAAGTTGCAAGGATTTTACAAGAATGCAAAAGATGGTTTCTAATAATGGAATGTAGACAGCATGTCTAGACTCCTTCTGTTGGGACACACAACATGTATTATTATTATGAAAAATAAAAATTTGATGTCTCTTAACTTACATGGTCATTGTTGGCAGGCTTTCTAGAACAAGGTCTGCTGGTGAAGGAGCACACAAAGCTGCGGGACAGTTACGTCCGCACGCTGCAGTTCAGGTTGGATGTGTTGTCGATGCTGCCGACAGACCTGGCCTACATCGCCACAGGGATCCACACCCCACAGCTCCGATTCAACCGCCTCCTCCGCTTCCCTCGCATGTTTGAGTTCTTCGACCGAACCGAGACACGCACCAACTACCCCAACATCTTTCGCATCTGTAACCTCGTCCTCTACATTCTCGTCATCATCCACTGGAACGCCTGCATTTACTACGCCATCTCCAAGTCTTTGGGATTCGGATCAGACACCTGGGTTTTCCCAAACTCCTCCAAACCAGAGTTCTCTTCCCTCACACACAGCTATGTCTACTGTCTGTACTGGTCCACCCTCACTCTCACCACTATCGGGGAAATGCCAGCTCCGGTGCGTGATGAAGAGTACTTATTTGTAGTTTTTGACTTTCTTGTCGGCGTGTTGATATTTGCCACCATTGTTGGAAATGTTGGATCAATGATAGCCAACATGAACGCCACACGAGCAGAGTTTCAGGCTCGTATCGACGCCATAAAACACTACATGCACTTTCGCAAAGTCAGCCGAGATTTGGAAACACGCGTCATCAAGTGGTTCGATTACCTGTGGACCAATAAAAAAGCAGTCGATGAGCAAGAAGTGCTTAAAAACCTTCCCAACAAGCTGCGTGCAGAAATTGCCATCAACGTACATCTTGAAACGTTGAAGAAAGTGCGGATTTTCCAGGATTGTGAAGCAGGACTTTTGGTTGAACTTGTTCTGAAATTGCGACCACAAGTCTTCAGTCCCGGTGATTACATTTGCCGTAAAGGGGACATAGGCAAAGAGATGTACATTATAAAAGAGGGGAAGCTGGCGGTAGTGGCTGATGATGGGGTCACACAGTACGCTCTCCTCACTGCGGGGAGTTGCTTCGGTGAAATAAGCATTCTCAACATTAAAGGAAGTAAAATGGGCAATCGCCGGACAGCCAATATCCGCAGCTTGGGCTACTCTGACCTCTTCTGTCTCTCCAAAGACGACCTAATGGAGGCAGTGACGGAGTATCCAAACGCAAAAACTGTACTAGAAGAAAGGGGTAGAGAGATTTTATTAAAAGAAGGCCTGTTGGATGAGAACGCAGAAAGTGGCGGTCTGGGGAAAGAGGACACTGAAGAGAAAGTGGAGCGACTAGAAACAGGACTAGACATTTTACAGACACGATTTGCACGATTGCTAAATGAATACACGCATACGCAGCAGAGGTTGAAGCAGAGGATGACACTTCTGGAGAGGCAGCTGAACCACACAGACTGCGGGGCGGAAAATGAAGTGTCCAGTCGGGCGGCCAATGAGGGCGGAGCAGGGTCAGCGGCGACAGGGGCACAGGTAGTTTAACTGCTGAGACAAACTCTTCTGATTGATTAAATTTAATAAATCCATTTAAGTCAAAACGGCATTGTCAGAACACCTCTTTGTTAAATCATTTCTACCCATGAAAAGCCAGTGGAGTGAGTTTGCTCCTTGTAAACAGGCAGAAGCAGGGGATTCACCCTCCTGATATGTATCGCACAATAGAACACCAGGCTCTGGTTGCTCCTCAGGGGAGGCTGTCCAATGAGAATATGTCATTTGTTCTCTGGATCACAAACAGTACTTTCCAATCAATTCAACCATCCAAATAGTTAGACTGTTTAAAAAGAAAAAAGCTGGACACTGTTCAGACATTCTTAATAGTTATATTTTTCTTAATGGAATATGTCATGTCATGTCATTTTCATCCCCTTTATTATTCCATTTCTGGGTTGGGGTGGGGGGGGGGGGGGGGGGGGGGGGGGGGGGGGGCAGGGGCAATCAGCTCCGGCAGTTGGTGGGTCCACAGGATGACGAGATGGCCTTGGTCTTTCAGCAGGGAATTCAGGCAATGTGGGGTTAAGTGTCTTGCCCAAGGACACAACGCCAGCAGACATCAGTGGGAGCAGATGACATGTGTTGTGGTGGACTCAGACCACAACCATTAGGCCCAAAGACCAGTGCTCTACCAACTGAGCTACTGTCGCCCAATTTGGATTATTATCAATATTGACACCAATCATTTACTGTCTGTAGTCTGCACAGTTTCAGAGCTTCCAAAAGGTCTGGGATGGTTATGCAAATTTGATAAAGATATAATTAAAGCTTTTCACAAATCTATATATATGTAAAACGCATGGAAAAAGTTGGGATTATTACAATAAAATCTGCCTGACTAGCACCTAAAAGGTTAAAATGTTGTATGGCATGTTATATTGTTTTTATATCTACTTCATCATATTATCTGATCCATTGTGCATTTATGCCAGTATTTGTCTAAAATATTATGACAATATTTTTAGTTTGGAAACTCCAAAGCATTACATTAAAACAATCTGCCAGCCTCCACATTCCAGGACACAACTGAACCACATGAGAAATTATGTTAAGCACATTCTACATGCCTCTCTCCTGCGCGAGAGCATGATGAAGAGGTGACGCAGTAACATTTTTATGGAAGCTTGTTAGGTTCACTTGTGAGTGTTTTTTTTTTCCGCTGGTATCATGTTATTTCATGATACTTTCATGAAATAACATGATAAATATCATGTTATTTCATGATACCAACTTATCATGTTATTTCATGATACCAATTTATCAGAAGAAGCTGACAGCTTCTTCTTCTTCTGTATCTACAGTATCATGTTATTTCATGATAAACTGGTATCATGAAATAACATATTTATCATGTTATTTCATGAAAGTATCATGAAATAACATGATAAACTTGTATCATGAAATAACATTTATCATGTTATTTCATGAAAGTATCATGAAATAACATACCAGCGAAAAAAAAAAAAACACTCACAAGTGAACCTAACAAGCTTCCGTACATTTTAACCTGAATATTTTCAGAATAACACTACATCATGCTCTTAACCTTTATGGAAAACATTTTACGGCGTTAGAGCCTTGTGAGTCACCATTTGATTCTTTGGGCTGAAAACTGATTGAAGGTGGTCCTCTTCTGATACACTCATCCAAATCTAACCTGGATTTTCTTACATTTTTGTTTTTAAGTGAGGTACCTCAGCTTTATCTACATTTTAATAAATCACTCAGGTCATTTCAAAAGTCATACATGGTCTTGCACACGCCATGCCCAGTGTTGCTTGTCAGCTCTTTTGCAGCTTGTCAAAGAGTGATGTCACATTACTCTTTCCTTTACAACTAGAGCGTCAGCTGCCCCCAACAACTGCTAAAGCACATGTCGCAATGACAAATCCCAGCAGCAGGTTGTGTTGGAGGTAATAACTCAGACATAATTTAATTAAGAAAAAGACCATTTTAATAGATTTTGCATATAGTTTATACTTGTTTAAAAGAGTACAAACATGTCTTTAAAAGTCCAACAGTACCTGCTTCTCATTTGTAAATTACTTCTCACAAATCTATGGCGTGGGGCAGAAAGAAATGCTAAATGCCAAGTGTAGCAAAAAGCCGTCTGTCTCACTACTTGTGTTCCTTACGTGACAAAATATATCATTTCATAATAAACACGACCAAAAATATGAATCAAGACAAAGATATCACCCGGTAACATTTGATTGAATGTGAAAATGCAGACAAAGGGATGAGTTTTTCAGAGCTGAATCAGAATGTGTTGGTGGCCTGAGTGATTGGTTGAGAGCGTTCACTTGAACATAAGGCTAACGCATTCGCATATGCAGGCTGTGTTTGGGGCCATCCACCCGCTCCAGCTTCTCAAAGTGTTTCCTAGCGTTCCGGATGTTGATGAGCGTCGCTGCAGAGGCTGTGGACAGAAAACATAAGCAGGTTTACATTGGGCCTTTATGTTGTATGTGAAATGTATTGTAGTTTCACACTCACGGATGGAGGGATCTGACATGATGACCATAACATAAGTGTTAGAGGTGAAAACATCAATGAAAGCAGCAAAGTTAGAGTTCCTCACTTCCATACTTTGGAACGAAGCTGCGAGTTTACTGAGATGCAAACAAAACAAAATACGTTAGAGGCGTTTCTCCTTATTTGAGGAGTGATGCGGATGTGACACCAACCTGCAACTGAGTTTAAACTGTTTGATAATGTTGCTAATCTTTTCAAACCGATGTGCGTCACGCTGCTCTTTGCACTGATAGTGTGAGATCACCTGTAGAACAAAGAAAATAAATAGATTCGTGTTTAATCACATTGTTAGCTATAAATATGCAGTACATATTACACTTGGTACTGACCAGGAAAGTGGCTCTCTCAAACAGAAGAACTTCATCTGCTTCAATAATCTGTGCGAAGTTTCTCAAATTGGTCTCCAGTTGCTGCACATTGGGAATAAGCTGGTACACTATGCTTGACCATGCCTGTATGATATAATAATACAACGTGGGAAAAAATATGTAGTGGGTTAATAAAATAAACATATTTGTGACTCACTAGGCATTTAAAACCTCCAATACAAAAGAATAACAGTCTAACCTTATACAGCGTTTCATCCCAGATAGAGGTCCTAAAGCATGTGCATGCCAATGGTCTCGACAATCTCTTGAGGTCTTCTTCACGCTCTTTGAAAATCTGAAACACAAACATGTTGATAAAGAAATCATAATACAGGTCAGCAAGAGTTGATTTTAAAAGATTGTAACATTATTGGGGGAAAAAAACAAAGAAATATAGGTTGCTAAAACAAATGAATCAGTGCTTACATCATATTGAAACTAAAATACAGAAAATAACTTCCTCATCAATATTTCACTTTTAGCTGCTGACATACCAGATCCCGTTGGTCCTCTTGTACCAGGTCCATTTTGTGCACGAGGCAGAAGACTTTGGCATCAGGAGAGTTTTGCAGAATGGCCTCGAGACAAGATTGGTAGTAATGCATGTCTTTCTCCAGCTCACGGCTCTCAACATCAAAAACATAGATGAGAACTTCTACATTTCGGAAAATGTTGTCCCTCTGGCTGGTGAAATAGTTTTCCATAAACGTGTCCTGCCTGGTGAGATGATCAAAGCAAACGGTTAATGCAAAAGTAAAACGTACATAACACATTTTTGAAAATAAAAGGTAAAAGCAAATTACCCTCCGCAATCCCAAAGGTTAAGAACGAGATTTCCAAGAAACCGTACATGGGAGTGTTCAACGTCAACTAAAAATAAAAGTACATACCAGAAGTTTATTTGCCAGGAACATAAAGCAATGCGTCTGAATGTGAGTGAAGCTTCTTACTAGTGGCTCCTAGACGTCTTGTGTCTCGCGCTATATAATTAGCAAAAATTATGGATCTCATACTAGTCTTCCCAGACCCACTTTTCCCCATCAACAGCACCTGGAAACAAAAGGGGATTTTCTGTCATTTCTTGGTTTAGCAATTGCACACAGTTTTAGTTGTAAATGTCAATTACCAAATATATGTACGAAGTAATGTCAAAGTTTAGTACTGTCAAGGTTATGTAAGAGCAATGGGAGACACTAAAAAAGGCGGCTTTATCCTTGTATAAATTAAATCTGCGTGGGTGATCGTGTACCTTCTTCTTCATGGCTGAGGCTGACATCCCTCAGAAGTCCCTGGAGCAGCTGTCAGGAGCCTCCGCACTGTGCTGCGGAACAAACTCTCATGTTCACCAAGCTTCCTCATCAAACACTCTCAAAGCTTCGCACGAAGACACCTTACTATGCGATTTGGAATCATGACTGACGCAACAAAAAACATTGTGTAGATCGTACATTCAGAATGATTATTTTACAAAGACATAAAAACACGTTAGCTTGATAAGCTAAGTAAGCTAAAGCGACAGCAGTATTTTTGTCATGAGACGCAGTGTTCTCACCTAAAATCCCCACAGTTCAGGTCCCAAATCGCAGAGATGTCTGCCCTCTGTCCGAGCAGCTGGAGGCTGGAATAACGACACAATTTCAGGAGCTCAGATCCATTACTTCGCAGAAACAAGAGATCAGCTGCTTCCTGTTTACGCACAGGTCACATGACGTGGAACCGCCCTCAGTGTTGATTCCATCAGTAAAACCATAGACATATATGTCTATGAGCAAAACAATGAACCAGATGTTGATGACATAACAGTCCTGGATATTATTAACACTATGGGCTCGAGGACACTTTCTATACAGCGACCTGGCTACCCACAAACCATTACCCGAGACTATTGCTGTTCTTCTATTTCATATGTTATTTCAGGGCACCACTTTTCCTTCGTCTCTGTTTTCACATAACATTTCTGTAAAACCTCTGGCACCTAAAAAGTTAACTAAACGATTATTTTCCATGGAACCTTCCCTTAAACGCCTCTGGAGGGCGCAGCATCGGGACTGCAGTTTCACTAGTGTTTCTGCTGTGTGGGGGCCGCTGTTTCACTCAATGAAAACATTCTGATAAAGGTTGATTAGGTCAGTAGAGTTGGGAAACTATTGTCTCTCATTACAGTGAAGTCATGATAGGGCAAATTAGCATAGTCACCAGATCTTTGTTCAGGCTCATGACACTTGAATGCTTAATTATCATTATCATCATTATTATTTTAGACTAATTAGGCTTGAGCCCCAAAAAGATTGGCCATCCCGCTCCCTTACCGCTGTTTTGAATTGGGACATGAATCAAAACTGAAACAAGTCAAGAAATTTGAATATTTTGAAAATCATCAAAATTATAACTAATACATTTGGCCCAAATTCAGTCTGCCGCATTTTAGTTTAACATTTTAAGTGCCACATGATGAGATTTACATGTGGTAGCTGACGTAAACACAGTAAGACCCACTCGTATCCTCCAATTCCCTCCTCCTTCCCAGACAAGATCCTGACACATTCCTATTCCCATTTTATTTACGAAACAATATGATGACTTTCCCTCCAGAATTGTCTAATAATACAATAATCCAAAATCCATCCCCTCCTTACTCCCCCCAGGTCTAAACAGCAGTAATGACCAACACCACAAATGCATGAATAACTCCTAATGTCCAGTAGAGGGCAGTATCTGTTGATGATGGGTGGCAAAAAATACTATGGCACATAGACTGTAAATATTAATCAGGCATCAACCCTGACAGCCCCACTTCCCCAAAGCAGCAAAAATATACAAATGAAAAGATTCCATGAACTGTTTTGTTTCATTTGTTTCAACAATAATACATGTGATTTTAGAAATAGTTTTGTTAACTGCTATTGTGATGTGTGATAGAGCAGATGTAATGCTGAATCAATGTTTTTAAACAAATAAAAATATTAAAATACAAGTAAACTCCTCTAGCTCAGTAACCATTAGTAACACTCACCATTAAGAACTTAAAATGCTGTGGTTTAGCACTCTCTGTAATCCTGTATTTATTTATGTATTTTTGAGGCTGTCTTTTGTAAACAGTGTGGATGTGGCAGACTATTGGCCTTCTGTGATAGTTTCAAAATGGCTTGTACTACAACTATGAACACAATACATTACTTCAGAGATATTAAATACAAAACAGGTTTATCACTTAATTTATATGAAATATGATTCATGTTGAACAAATGGAGCAGGGGTTTACAGATGAGGGGAAAATTGAAAATACAGATGATTTATTTAGAATTATTATAAAACCATTGCCAAGCATTGAACCCTTTACCAATTTCTATTTCAACAGCAAGGCCAAATCAAGATCTCAAAACAATAACATAAAATAAAATAAAAATACACTTATATGTCAAATAGGGGACTCATAAATGCATATTTAAAGTTGAATCATGCACAAGACTATGATAATCTTTTGTATTGTAATTCTTGTCTCTATACATAGGCTTATCTTCACTCATACTGCTCTAAGTGTGTTTAAAAAAAGGAAAGAACATTATAAAGATAGAATAAAAGGTAGGCATCAATGTACTTTAACACGTAGCACAATCAGCTAACAAAAGATATGAATGAGACAGAGAAAAAAAAGTAACGTGGCTGGGAGTTTATGATCAGGTAGTGTACAGTGAGTCAAAGCATGAGAACACTTATACTTGATCTCGAAGCTTCGCAAGTCTTGAAGAAAGCTCATCCTTAAAAGAGAAAAGGAGAAAATGATGAAAGAAGTTAAAATAAACATGTGATTGTTAAGTAGAAGTATGAAAATGGTACCTGCTCAGCAGAAGCCACACTTGTCCCCACAGATCCAGTCTGGCCCTGAGGAAGCTCCATGTTGAGGTCCAGACTGAAATAATAAACATTTTCATCAAAATAATTCATTTTTGAAACTTAGAACAGGCCGAGTTGTAAAGCCTTACCCTGCTTCGTCTGCCATTTCATGCATCAGTGATTCCACTTGATTCTAACAAAACAACCAAACTTGTAAATGTTCAATAAAATGTAATGTAGTGTTGTGAAAACTATAGAAATGTACCTGTGGCGTCGTCAGTGTGGTGGTGCTGCTCATGGTGTCCTCCATTTGGGCTGTCTGCACATCCAGGGTTTCAAACTGATGCTCAAACTTATCCATAAGGCTTGAAATCTAAACGTAACAGAGTAGAATTTAAACGTGTTATTAGTAACTTCTGTCTGACACTTCCATAGCAATATATTTCATTGTTTGACTTACCTTTTCCAGGTTCATGCTCTTTAGAGTGGCGTCCATTCCCTTCACTACACCAGCCATCGATTTTGTGACCTATGCAGTTTAAATATTTAACTAGTTTTAATGCAATTTTAGTTTTGCACAAATGCATAACATATTTTATCACAGTTTTATCACAAGCTACAAACATAAGATAATAGACTGTACCTGGTTCATTGTAACAGCCGTCTGGACTCTCGCTGCCACAGCGTCCACTCGTGCACTCATTCTGAGAAAATTCACTGACTGGTTTTTCTGTCTGATGGCATTTTCAGCATGGATTCTGGCTACTTCCATGTTTCCTTTTTGAATAGCCTAAAGCAAAATGGCATGAATTATTTGTTTAATCACATAATGATCACAGAAATGAAAAGGCCTCAGTTTCACTTACTTTCTTAACCTTTGCTTTTTCTATCTTTTCTTCTTTGTCACATTTTTTTGAATTTCTTTGGAGGTCTTTGGCAGCAAATTTTAGATTGAAAAGATGTTCTGTAGAGTAGAGTTAAAGAAACAGAGTACACACAAACAGGTTCTGTGTTCTGCAGGGCTGAAGTCAACCAAATAAATTAGTTGGTCAACTAAACAAGACTAAAAAACACAAAGGCAAAAAATGATTATGTACCTGACCCAAACTCTACTCACAAATCAATGGAAAAATAATAATAATACAATATTTAGGGCTCCATATGTCCTAATTTTTGTAATTTTCACATAGAAATGATAAAAGATTGACTTAATGATTACATATTGACAGCTCTAATGTTCAGTGACTTAGTCACTTTCACAAGTGTCCTGTGCGACACTTGGCTTGAGGTTGTGAGATCATTTCATCCTTTAATTGGTTGATAGCCTGAAAAGTTTGGGCAGCATTACATTACGTTTGTTATTGTGTCATTGGCATGAAACAGCTCACTGGGGAGAAAGGTTCCTCAGTGTTTCCTTTAATGTTCACGAAAGGCACGTGTAAAGCACAATTAGTTGAGTATTTGCTCATAATAATAATATATGTTGTTTACGGCCAAATGGGTATTTGTGTGGGTATCTGTAACGTGACACGGTCTCAAAATAGACTAGATATATAATAAATACTGTCGGTAAATGAAATGTGATTCAGGAAAACGAGTAATTAAACTTCTAGACTCACAAAATAAATCAGGAGAAGCCCAATAAGTATCTGTCTCCACACCAAAGCGTTGTTTGTCTCACCCAGTTACAAAGGATACTTTCCATTTTCGACATCTAGACACAAATGTTCGTGACTACGCCGCGAAAAAATCAAATAGTCCAAATAACTGTTGAAAAAGTGTCGAAGTAAAGACGTTATTTCTGAAGTAAACTTCAGTTCTTCGTGTTTCGCTTCGTCGTCTTCCGCACTTCCGGGTCTCTAACCAAAATATCAATGACGTAAACATCACGTGGTGGTATTCAATTCCATTGCGTCACGAGATACGTGCTCCGCCCCCTGAAACATCTGTGAATTAAAATGAATAAAAAGCGTTCTGATGTTGAATGGGTTGTAATCACGTGCCTGTGTTTGTGTTTTATAAATGTTATGTAACACGTAGAAAGTGCGTGAGCCTCTGTGTGATTGGTGATCACGACGGCAGGATGAGTCACTGCTGTTGTTCACCCTCAACAGCTCCGCATCACGCAGCAGACAAACTTCATAAACTTACACCCGCACATTCTCACGCACATTCACATGCACACGCACATGCATGATCACACAATCGAGGAAACCGCGCTCAGAGCAAAGTTCACACACTGGGGTTTTGTAGTTGGGGAGCAAAGGGGCGTCGTGATTTACATTTGTGACGCCTTCTTTGCCATGGAAACAGCGCTGCCGTGCTGAGAGGAAACATTCCGTATTAACTTTAACATCAGCCTTGATCACGAGCTGGACAACCTGTTGGATCTGTCTTTATTCATCTTGTGGCCTATTTGTGGATCCTTTTGGCGTCACCACAGGTGAGTTTCTTTTATAGAAAGATTTGTTACTTTTTCTTGATGCTGGAATAAACCCAGAATTAGCTTGGTTACTTATCAAATTATATACAGACACATTTGAAAATGCTGTATTTGAACCTAGTGCAATCATTAAAATGACAGTAGCTCTACCAGTGTTTTATATTTTCAAGCAAATGTTACAACAACGTACTTTCATCCAAAATATTGCATTGCAATGTGCATTTGTTTTTACCCACCTTTCACGTTTCAGTTGTGCAATTTATTTGTTTTCTGTACAAAAAAGTGTGGGGCCAACCAGAGATTCTTTTCCCTCATGCAGGAGCTGTATGACTCATAGTCTTATCTATAAAGAGGCAAGTGGCAGAAGAGCTGCAGCAGGACCAGGCTGATGTAACCAGACACAGCACTAGAGGCTGCTGTGCTCCCTACAGTTCACTGTCCACATGTGTATCATCATTACATGTCGTGCTCTTATTCATATATATATATATATTTACACAATAATTTTATTATTCAACAATTTGGGTGGCATAATACAGTAGCTGATGTTCTTGTGTTTCTAGAATGTAGGAATAATGTGTGTTTTAGAGCAGAGAGTCAGTGAGTCATATCTGCACAATGATCTGACATTTAATGTATGACGGAGAACATATTTGACATGCACTTTCGGGCCAGATTCAATTTCAATATTTGTTATTTTTTCCATATTTTCCTTGCTTAAAAATATTTTTATAACGTTTCTTGATATGATGTCTTAATGTGCGCATAGTCTTAAAACCAGATTGTCCATTATACTGTTATCACAAGCACAGCACCCTGTGTTTCAGTGTAGAAACCAATGGAAAAGAAGACCATGGTCATTTCAAGTTCAAAAGTCATTGAGGAAAAAAATGCACATGTTGATTTTTTTTTCTATACATTTTTCCACAGCCAAGATATATGGAGCTTCAAGCAGAAAAGCGTTCCCAGAACTTGAATTTTGAACAAATTCAGACTCTGGATAAAGTCTTGACTGAGTTGATTCCCATTTACGGAAGAGGAAACTTCCCCACGCTGCAAGTTCGAGCCAAAGACATGATACGAGTGGTGAAGGAGCGTCTGGTGGAGCGTGACATCCACGTCAAAGATATCCGCCTGAATGGTGCCACAGCAAGTCATGTCCTGGTAAGAGACAATGGTTTGAGTTATAAAGATTTAGACATCATTTTTGGTGTCGATTTGCCCAGACAGGAGGACTTCCAAGTGATTAAGGAGGTGGTGCTGGGGAGTCTCCGAGACCTCCTCCCATGTGGCGTGAACCGCAGAAAGATCACCTGTCTGACCATGAAAGAGGCTTATGTGCAGAAGATGGTGAAAGTGTTCAATGAGCATGACAAGTGGAGTCTCATATCATTGTCAAACAACAGGGCCAACTCTGTCGGGCTGAGGTTTGTGAGCTCCCTGCGAAGACATTATGAGTTCAGTGTGGACTCATTCCAGATCATTGTAGACCGAATGCTGGAGACGTACTGGGAAAGTGAAAAGAGACAGACGAGACAAATGACAACAACAGCTGGACAAGAGAAGCATTCTGTGGCTCCCAAAGTTGAACCTGAACTGTTTCAGAAGACATCCGGTGCAAATAAATCACACCGAGGAAAACCCAAGAAAGAGTCCGACTCCACTGATAGGAAATGTGAGAAGGAGCAGATCGTGGAGTCTAAAAGGGCTGATGTTCATTTGACTTCTTCGCCTGCAGAAGTGTCTGACATAAGAGGTGGCAATTCAATGGAGGAAAAAGAGTCTGAGCTTTGTAAAGAACATATTGAAGACAAATGGCAGCTGCCCTCTTCTCAGCCTCCCTACGGCCAAAATCTGCATGTTACACAGTCATGCCGTAAGCTGCAGAATAATAAAGACTGTGAATCATTTTCTTCTCAGTCCACATCCTTAGAGCAACCAGCAAAGACCGTCTTAAAGGAGTCTAATCACAATGAAGACATTTCACTGTTTAAAGTGAACGCTCTTTTCCAGAGGACAGATGAGATAATCTCAACTCCGGGATCAATAGATTCCCATCCTGAATACACTTTTCCACCACCAGCTAAGAAGTCCTGCAGCTCAACACTGGAAATTATACCGCCAGACACTTGCCCTTCTCCTAAACTACAGCGCAAAATGTCCAGGAAAATGATCACAAAACAACAGCTCTCTGAAAAGTGGTCTCTCCCGCCTGACTTGTCAGATCTGACAACACAGCTCTTTCCTCCTATTGAAATAACTAAACCGCATCAAGCACCTGCTTTGCTGGACAATGTTCAAATGTCAACTAGAGAGATTTCAGAAGATTCAAACATAACTCTCATTGTACCTACTGTTAAAAAAGACTCTGTGTTTTGTGAAGGAAGTGCTACAATTGATGCAAGTGTAAAGCCCAAACAATCAAAGAAGCCCCCGGATGTAGACAGTCATTCCCACACTGCTCCACTGAGACCTGACCCTCCAGAGACTGGGACAGTAAGCACCTCTGGGTCACACCTTTGGAGCGGGTCATCTGCAGAGACTATAATCACTGTGGAGGCCGAGTGCATGTATGGAGACTTCCAACAGGCCCTGCACCACCTTCAAAGCCGGCTCATTGCAACCCACAACCCAGAGGAGATCCGGGGAGGTGGATTGCTTAAATACAGTGATCTTCTGGTCCGAAACTTTTGTCCAGCTAGTGACACTGAGATCAAATCTTTGGAGCGCTACATGTGTTCACGCTTCTTCATAGACTTTCCAGACGTACGTGAACAGCAGCGCAAAATTGAAGCCTATTTACAATGCCATTACATCGGCAATGATGAGGCCAGTAAATATGATTTTCTAATGACTCTGCGGCGTGTGATTGACGAGAGCACGGTTTGCTTAATGGGGCATGAGAGACGACAAACTCTGAACATGATTACAGTCTTTGCTTTGAGGGTTTTGGGAGAACAAAACGCCATTCCAAATACAGCCAATGTCACTTGCTTCTACCAGCCTGCTCCATACATGACAGAGCCTGTGTATAACAGCTACTTCATCAGCCAGAGCCAGCCCCCCCTCATGTACCACCCCTACCCTTTACATGTGCACTTACAGTCTGGCCTGGTCTAGCGGTAGGCAGCATTACTATGGCATGTTGTGACTATAGGCATGTGCACTACAAATGAGCACAAATGCATTTAAAGAGCATTGTCAGATTCAGCCGATTCTTTGAGGCCTCAGAGGAATTGGAGCAGGAGACTGGTAAAGTGGGACATAGTGGATCATAGTGGGACAGCTGAATATGCTCTTATGCAGCTATGACATATGGTTGCTCCAAGTGGCAAATCATACCTAATATATCCGTTAAATCTTAAAATGAGGTTTAAATCATGGTATTTGATGGGTTTGTACCGGTGTACACATTGTGTGAAAGTATGTTCTGAGTTCAGTTATGTGCAGTGAATTTCAGTCTGCATGTCCAGTGGTTCTTCCATATTATAAACACTATAATCATAAATGTGATAAAGTAGTGGCGGGAAGGATAGAAACCAAAGTGTTGTGACTCCCCATTACGAACATGTGGCCTACACATACTGAGATCCATGATCAGAACTGACATAGGAGTGTTTTGTTGTAATTTGTCTAAAAGTATGTGACAAAAACGTGTGTATATTTGAATTGACTTGTGAATTTCACTGTGTTCATGTTGACTTTGTGTCTTGATCTTTGTTTTTAGTATGAAGTAAAACAGTTGGGCTTTAGGAAATGTAATTGCTGTTGTGTTTGACAAATATAAACCTGAAGTTTGTAGTTGTAATGTCATTGTTCAAGTGGATGAATTTGTCAGTGCAACATTAAGATATGATCTCTGTGAAAGAGTCCTGTTCTTAAATACAGTGTGCTTCCATTATTATATTAAACATACACTATAACCAATACTTCTCCCTGTGTTTTCTACATATGGATCTTTCAGTCTGTAGTTTCGGGGTGTGGCCTGTGCGTCACAACCTTGTTTGTCCCTTGTCTGACTCACCCAACCCTCAGCGCATTCATCCATCAGGTGAACATGCGGATGACAACTCTATTATGGCAGCCCTCAACACCCCAGAAGGAAAGAAAATAAATAAATGTATGAAGACTATTAGCAAAACGTCTATTTATTTATAAAACTTCACACAATCAAAACAATGTACATAAAAGACGTGATCTGGCTCCATGTATAGATTATTATCCTTTTATGGACAAATGCAAAACTTAAATAGTGGATTGTATTTTTAACATGATAGAGCATAAACATGATTTCATATCGTAAAATCTGACAAACTCTGAAGACTTCACGAAAGCATGACCTGATCATTTAGCACCGGTAAATTTTATTTTGTTAATTTAAAGGTATACAAGAGGATTTTCTACTTCCGGGTGGATCATCAACACTATTGGTCCTCCCAAATGTCAATCATTCTGTTTATACGTCCTTGTCCTATAAGAGCAGAAGTTTTGTTCAAAAAGTAGAAAGGGCGGTTCTTTCCTAAAATATGGGAAAATCCTCCTTTATACCTTTAACAAAAAAAATGTATAACTAAGTAGTTTGATCATTTGACTGTAAAATACTTCAGGACTGTTCAATGTGTCTCTGATGATAACTCTAAATTAAATGGAAAATGCCATTGTGTGTTGACATTTTTTTCATCTCTTGATTATTAATCCACTAAGTTAATTTTTTTGCTTTTAAGTCTGAATAAACAGGGAGAGTGAGGTTTTTTTGTTGCAATTTAAAACATTCCTAAACAAAAGATCTCGTCAGCTGCCATGTGGATAAATGTGCAAAAAGTTTCATCCAATTCTCAGTATTACCACCGGGAAAAGGTTACAATTATTACAATGTAAAAGACACGCAAAGTAAAATCATTTTACCTCCATCCAAAAACTTCTAAAGTGGGTGAAGTTGAGCAAAGAAGCAAAAGTTGGAGAATAGGTTTTGTATTGTTAATAAGGGAGGACCCAGTTCAGCTTTGATACCAAATTACCAATAATGTTACTTTGGTGTTTTGACTACTTCAAACTTAAATTACATATTGTAAAACAATGAACATGAGGGTCACATTGTTTACACAGATTTATCAGAGCTGGAGCAGGGACACTGGAGACATATGCTTTAGATGTACATGTAGTATCTTTTCACCCCAATATGGCAAAAACTACATTCTGTTCCTTTAAATATCATGATACAAAACAAATGTGTAACAATATGTAGGATGGAACATCCTACATATTGTTACACATTTGTAAGCAATTTTTGAGATATGATCCGATACCTGGTCTTGATGCCAATACCACATACCACAATACAAGAATAATAACCAGATTTAAGTGATTTCAATATCTGATGGGTTTGACCAAATAATTGCTGATAAATACCTTAAAAAAGGTAGACATTCTGTTGAAACATCCCTACTAAGTGAGTTAAAGGCTCAAACGTGAACTGAGTGAATCTTCAGTCTGTAAATAGTCTTTGTCACAATATTGGTGTTGGTCCGTCCCCAATATAAACCAACAATCCATTGTTAGTACCACACTTTTGTGAATCGAAAAGACAATGGAGCGAAAAGATCTTTGAAGCGAAGAGTAATGCAGTCACTTAATTGACAAAACTGACATCAGTAATCTTAATGTTGTAGTGTCTTCCAAGACTGGAAAACAAGATTGGACAAATAAACCAAGAGTACCTTTTTGGCATTTGTGAATCCATCTTTGGCGACTAGGAGAGAAACGAGGTCAGAGAAGAAAAACAAAATGAGTGTTGTGGACGTAAATCAATAGGGACAAAGAGAAAGACATGGCACTCCCCTCCCGATCAGTAAGGCAGAGGTGACCGGGCCCAAAGCCCCGGGCTTCTGATGTGAGCACCAGCTGTCGTTAATAGTCTCAGATAAAAACATGTCTCTATATATATTTATTATATACACGTGTACACTGCAAAAATCCCTGAAGTATTCCTCATTTTGGCAGACGTTTGGAGTTGGTCAGTGCCCCCCCCAGCCCATGAGGTGGCTGACGCGGGCCTTTTCCGTCATGCGCCGCACCCGCCCTGAGCGAGAGCGGCCCAGGTTCAGAGGGTCCTGTTTGGACTCGTCCTCAGAGTCTCCGTCCTGGTACATCACCGTCCTGCGGCCCTGGTTTCTTGTGCTCACTCTCTGACCCTTCAGCTTGTTGACCCTGGTGCTGTTTGCTTCTGCCTCAGAGTTGTCATCTTCATCTTCCTCTTCATCGTACTCTTCAATCTCATTGTTCTCCTCCTGCTCCTCCTGCTCCTCTTCCTCCTCCTCCTCCTCCTCCTCTGGCTCTTCTTCCTCATCGTCAGGGTGACTTACTACTATAGGTTGCAAAACAATTTCCTCTTCCTCCTCCTCTTCATCTTCATCTTCCTCCTCCACCTGTAGTTGAACTCTGACTCGTTTTGGCCTCTGACTCGACTCCTCTTCCTCGCTGTGTCTGCGTTTGCCCGAAATCACCTCCTTGCCTTTGCCGGAGGGCCGCGCTGCCCGGCAGGAGGCCTTGCTGTAGTCATGATCGCCGCCTTCAACAAACTTCTCCCTCTCAGAGTCTGAGCTTTCTGAAGACGAGGAGGAGGAGGTGGAAGATGAGGAAGAAGAGTCTGATGAGGAGCTGTTGGAACCAGAGGCTGCTTCCTCTGACTGTCGATCTTGCTGCTCTGTCAGTCTCGGTTCGCGCCTGTGCTGGTGCTCTGTCACATACACACATGCACACGCACACACGTTACTTATGATACTAGATCTTTGCAGGATCAAGTGTTTCACAGTAGTATCTTTGTATGACGGGTGACATATTTTGGAGAGTTTGTGTTATAATTGGTGTTGGTGGGAGATTGGCAGCCTTGCTTCTGCCAGTCTACCTCAGGCCAGTTGTGGCTACAGATAGACCTGTTACAATAACTAGATAAATGGCTTTAGAAATATTATGTGATAAACAATAATATAATGATAATAGTGAAGCTGCTTTATGCCACTGACATAAGCAGTGCAACCCTCTACAGCTAAAACCTTTACCAAATTACAAATATCTCCACTATGGCAAAGAAAATTTACAGACAAACATTGAGGCCCAAAGTATAGAGTGAATTAATAGCCAAATGTAAGCGTTTCTGAGTTTTACAAATATGATTATTAGTTGAAATATAGATTTCAAAATTCAGAATCCAAATCCAAACTTGAAATGTCAAAACATTTAATACAATTATTTAATGAAATTGTGTCATGAATTATAGATTATCTTTGCCTTCCATAATCATCGAACAACCTGGCCATTCATGATCATCAATTAACCAATGTGGTTCAAGTCCTGGTTTGTGTTCCATACCTGATCTGTGCTGGACTTTGCGGAGTGTTTCACGAGAGTCTTGGCTTCTGCTTCTGCTGTTGGTTTCTGAACTTGAGGAAGACCGTTTACTGTCCACTTCTGCTACACTGTGAAGAGCTGCAACGTAACACATTCAAAATACTATTATTTTACAATAAAAGGCCATGAAATAAAACAATATTGACCTGTTTTGGCTTCTAAATAACTTTATTTGAACATTTAGTCCTAAATAAATTGTGTGATGTGATACGCTTTTTCAAGGTAACAAGCTATAAAGATTTACTAATAATATTGAACCCCTTGCTATTTAAACATTATTTCAATGTTCCTTGTCAACTAAGAAGAATAGAAAGCTGGTCCCAGTTTAGTTTTGGTCTAGTCCCAAGTCTGGCATGGTCCTGGTTCAGACCAACTCTATACAAAATATGTAAATATTGTCTTTGTATTCACACATAAAACGTAGCACTGAGCCATTGACATTTCTTTCATATCTATATATATCGGATACATTTAAACTGAAGTACCTTGTTGTGATCTTTGCCGGGACCTTTTGGTTGAGGATTGGGATTTCTTTGGTTTGGACCCTTTACTTGATTTGTGTTTCTCTTTAGGACTAAGGAAGAAGACAGCGTACAAAATTAATTATTAAATTGCATTTAACAGTCAACTAAAAATCAAAACAGATGTGTAATGTGCGTCTGTCATACCTTGGAGAGCGGCTGGAAGGGGAGACGGCACCATTTTGCAGTCGGTCTCTGTAACTCTGCCGCTGACGCGTTCGTCGCTCATTCTGAATGGCAGACTTATGGTCCGAGATGATGGAAATTATGTTTGTCTCAAAGAAGGCTGATAAACTGAGAGTCATGCTGAAAATCTGTGCAGAGAAAGTACGGTACCTGAAGTCATGTATATATATTTATACCTTTTGTTATGAAAGAGCAGTGTAAAAAAAACACATGTCACATTTAGATACCACTCACATACAGAAGCATGTCGGTGACTCTAAAGTATGAAAGTGAACCTCACTTGTACAGTCTCTGGTTTGTCAGGACCAGGAACAAGGAAGTCTTCACAATCACAGAACACAATGCACTTCAGGCCAATAGCCCAGTTTACCCACAGCTTGAGCACCTTGACCATATTGTCATATTTCTTATGCCATAAGACAGAAACATCTCCTGTAATTCTGACTTGAACATATTCAGTAGTTAAATCAGTGGTGGACTCCCCTGCCCCATGGAGGTGCTCGTGTGAACCATTGAGGTTTTCATGATCCTGTCTGGGCAAAAAAAGTCTCTTGGATGCAAAATTTATCACAAGTTCCCAATAGTTTATCCACTGTGAAACAACGTGCCCAGTCTCCATCACTATTCCCCACACACAGTCGCATTGTAAGATAACACATTACTCTCTGTGTGGTAACCATTACCCATGCATCCCTTATGGTTAAGTTACAATACAATGACATTTATTACCTTCGACTTCTTGTTTGGGGTGTATGCTCTTGAGTTGATGAAAATAAGGCGAATGTCTTTAGCAAATTCCATTGGGTTTTCATAATTTCCTGCCAGCAGAGTCTCAGACACAGTGCCCAGGTCCATGGGAGTGTCAATTATGTCCCGATAGTCCTAAACAAGAAAAATAATGATCAAAAGTGTTTCCACAACCACCATTTCTATTCATTGTATTTAGTAACTGTAACTGTAGTATTACTGGATACTCAAAAAGATCCACCGGCTGTCTGAAAGGTTCTGAATCTGGAGACACCACCATTCGACAAAGCAACTCTCGACACTGTGCTCTCCAGGCTTTGGGGTCTAGTTTCACGCCGCGGGCCTTTTTCTTGTTCTGTAAAATTAAAGTAGATGTTATATTTGAGGGCGGTCACTACATTATTAACAGCTTGAGCGTCCTACCCGTCGCCCTGTAGATGTCCCTGGGGTATCAGAGTCTATGTCTACATCCACCTACATGGAAATAAATATGCAGGATAAGCAACAGAAAACAACACAATGTTATGATTATTCTCATCTTATCATTTATCCTGTTCAAATACTGTTTATTATAATGAATAAAACCTTACCTCTCCTTCATCACCACTGCTGAGCTCAAACTTTATTTTGTGATAAAGATCGAGGATGTCGTTGCAGCTCTGGTCTCTGGTGGTGCCATACACAAAATAAGGAATTCATTTTCCAGAATATCGATTGGATTTATATTCAATTTCCATTTAAGAGTACCCACCCGATGTAATTTAGAAGCACATCCGTCACTATTTTTGCTGCTGCGACTATGGGGCTCTGAGGCTCATTAAACGTGCGTGCATTATGTTCAATGTACCGCACCTCCCACATCAAGGCAGAAATTCGCCTGCAACGTAAAGATTAAGATGAAGAAATACTTTATTCGTCCCACAGTGGGTAAGTTACAGAATAGTAGGAATGAGGAGCACACGGCACAAGACAATGAATAATAACTCTATACTAAAATAAAAAAAAAAAATCTAACTCTAGCATAAAAAGAAGCAGTATAAAATCTATATCTTTAGCATAATACAGTAATAAATCTACAACTTTAGCACAACGAAGAAGCAAGAATTAAGCGAAAAAACCACTGACTTTAGCATAATAAGGAGCAAGTATAAAATTCTGTAGATGCTAGTGCAAGTAATGTATAGTTGTAGGTATACATCTGTACATGTTAGCAGCATGAGGGTATGGGGCAAAGTGACTCAGTAAAGTGACAGTAACACATGTGGTTCTATTATAAAAAGGCAGCCATAGACTTTATGTACAGAAAACATTGTCAGTTTTTGAACAAATCATTCCACAAGGGTTTACGCGCCTCACCTGTAAAATCGATTTTCGAGTCTTTTGCGGATGGTGCTGAGGTCAGTTAGGTAAGCCACCACAGTGCAATAGAGAGGATAGTCCTGTAGATTCACAGGTGAAGCGAAGGCCTTTGCAACATCTGAAAAAAAGTAATTATTGCCAACAATTAAGCATTTGTTGTGAGTGCAGTAGCGTACCCATTGTCAGGAGGTCAGAAATGCCTTGTAGAACCCGTTCACACTCTTCGTCTCGTGTGTATGCGCCCCACTCTCCTTCCTGAGGTTCGTAAAGCAGAGCGGTCAACTCTTCTTCAGCCACTGACATGCCATCGCCAACCTGCTCCGGCAGTGCAGCTGTTGGACCAGAACACACTATAATACTCACACTTTAAATATAAACTCCTGACAGTTTTTGTTGTGGGTTTAAGTAGAGTAATAAAATTAATGACATTCAACCACTGCACCGTATGTTATGATTTAATCTGTTAGTCGTGTTCAGCTGTGACGAGTTAAGAAACTCACCTCTGTGGTAACCACTGGTTATTCCCCTTTTTGGGAACAGGATAATTCTGCCGTTTACCCGCCTTTTGCTTTTTTCATCCCGTCTGTTTCATTATCTAAATGCTATTGAGAACGTATGAGTTTTTATAGAACTAGTATTCCCAAAGAAACCTCAATCAACTAGCCTCTTCCCACAACAGGCCAGGGAGACCCTCTTCACGTCTATGTCCCCACTTGTCTCTGGGAAATGCAGCTCTTTGAAGCCCCAACAAATGCACAGTCTTTCACAAAAATACAATTGTTTTTTGACTTGCCTTCCTCAGGTATCGGCTCCATATCCCATGGACTCATCTTCTCACACTCGCCGTTATCCCATCTGATCAAATTAAGACTTGTTATTTTAAAAAGGCCATGGATTTAAGATCAGTATCCACAGCAACAGACTTACTTCACTGCAAAGCACTGAAAGAGGCTGTCTGGATACTCCAACTGCAAAGGCTCCTGGTCCTCAATAGTGCCAAACCACCAAGCATCATCAATAATGCTGCGGAATCGCATACCTACACAAGCAAAACAAGAATTGAAAACACATTTCAAAAATAAGAAATATCATGGGAGCACCAATATAACGGCCAGAATCCATAACGGCTAATAATGATGCGAATGTGTCAAAGGCACTTACATCAGTCCATTAAGAAAACATGCATGTGTACAGAGGCTGAGAAGCTGCTTTATACAACGTGGTCACACAGGGACAGTACAGTATATATGTTATGAAACCAGGTGACCCATTGGTCTGATTACTGAGTGTATAAGCATTGAGTTGATTTAATCTACTTGTAATGTAATTTCTACTCCTGTAATGTTCCTTTATGTTTTTATTTATACATGCCGATCTGTGTAGCATTGACTCTGAAAATTACCCTTGGGGATAATAAAGTTTATCTTATCAAAATAAAATCAACAACAAATAAATCCAACCTGGCTGCCAGTTATGCTCTCGAGCCTGATTGTAAAACTGTTTAAGGACCAGAAAGTCAATCACGTCTGGCATGTCATGGTATCTGTAGGACAAAATAAAAATCAGAGTGTGACAAGTTTGATGCATATTATCAATTGCAAAGTGCAATTTAATCTTACTTTAAAGAGAAGGAGTCATTTGTCATTTTTCCCGAGACCGGATCCAAGAAGGCCAGTTTTAGGCAGCAAAGAGTGGGCGGTCCAACTTCATATTTAATCCCTACCACCTTTACTGACTCTTGATCCTAGACCACATATGCAATGAATGTAAAATCCAAGACACAAGCAATAAAATAATTATCATTGACATGAATATAATGGGGGCTTTACCCTGAGGTTAAGTCTGTTCCACGGCTGTTTCTGCGGGTTAATGCTGTAGGTCTTTGCTCTGCGTACGGCCCTAACATAGGCCTGATGGCCCTGCTTGAAGTAAATCAGCTACAAAATGAACACATACAATTAGGACATGATCCCAGCAGCCACATAGGACAGAACTGATTGTTCCAACTCTCAACCACAAATAGCCATAGAGAGAAAACTATTGTTTTTAATCAAGACACAGTTCGTCTTAAATCACATCACACACAGTTGAAGATACACAATATTTAACAAGTCTTTCATTGTCATTGATCGGATTTCAGAGCACGAACTGGACGGGCCATTTAACGGAAACGTGGTTGGGAGCAGACATGTGTGACGCAGGCATGCTCTGGAGAACTGTTACATTTATTCCCAATGCACAATTACACAAATAACTACTCACTAATGGAGAAATAGTGCTTAAAGAATGTCAACAGCACATGGATTATGTCATGACGTTATACAATTCAGATAACAATAGCACTTTGATAAACTGTATTGAAAAGTGGTTCTACAAGTGGACAGTACAATAGAAAACCCTTCAGGGTTCATGTCCCATGCCTAGAGTGAACCAACTCCTCCTGCCTTTTCTTTGAGACACCTTTTCAATAGCACTCACCTCATCCCCCATCTGTGGAACAAAGGGAGATCGCCTTGGGATGGTTTCCATTATCCAAGATGGTGGAAGCCACTCCTCTGCATTTAGACCTTGAGCGGAAGTTGGCTTCTATAAACATACAAATTATTATTGAGAGATATCCTTGTTAAAGATAGATTCATTTGGGTAAGAAGGCTTCTTATTACAACCTGCTTGGTTTGTTTGGGTTTCTTCTGATCTTGACTTTCCTTTTTAGTCTCCATTTTGTTCTCCTCCTCTCCATCCTCATCAGAGCTGCTGTAAGCCGCAGGGGCCGCAGGCCTCCTGGAAGAACGTTTTGGTGGCTGGAGGTTGATGCCAGCATCAGCAGTCCAGTCTGAATATTCACTGGACGAATCACTGAGCAAAGTCAAGACAAACATACATTGTAAGTGTTAAGAATATGTATAAAAACAGTAGGGAGTTCCTACTGTGTATATACATATGTGTAGTTCCTACAAGGAACTTCACTCAAACGGCACAACAAGATATTTTCACCTTGAGCTACTCTCACTTTGCCATCGATCTTCATCTGAAGACGCAGCAGTAGCAGCTCCCTGTTCAGTCGCCTGTCAGATTAAAACAATGAACTTAGATTTGTTAGCAACTGAAGAGTGCTGGAAAAAGCAACTATTTGGCATCAATTCCATTCCCTGTCTTTGACTTAATGTGTGCCACAGGGTAGATCTTACCTCTCCCTCACTGTCCAATTCATGCTGGCTCTCAGAATTACGGCGAGAGCCAGACCTTCGTCTGCTCCGCACACGGGTCACTTCTGTGGAGCGCGTCTGATATGCATGTTTTTGCTTCTTTTTCTTTGATGGTCGAAGGGAGCGCTGAGATCCCAGGGGCTCAGTCTAGAAAAAGTACAATCACATACTATTTATCCAACTGAAAAAAGGTAGAACGTAGAAAAAACTATGACATGCATACTAACCTGGGACTGTAAAGACACAGGTTTTTTTCGGCGTTCTGCACTGTACAGAACACACTCCATGTCCCCTTTGGCTTTTCTGCACTCCTCCAGTATTCTAAACAAAGAGAATGAAAGTTAGTTACAGCATGTATTATACAGAATCAGAGTTTACATAAGCTAGCATATTTTAATAAATACAGTATGCTTACAATTTACTCTAAAAGTTTATTTTAAAAGTGCTTGACTTCAGGGGATCTTAGTTATAGGTGTGAAGTTTTGGGATGACCTAAATAAATCTTTATTTAACACGCTGACAATTTAGAGTGTTAAAAATATACATCACTGTAAAATATAAATTCTCACTTTCAGTTTAAGCAAATTTTTTGAACCTGTTTTTACATCACCCGAACTTAACAAAGCGAACAGTGAACATTCACCTATACATTGCCGGTGGCACTTCATTAACCACCACTCTGCGACTCCAGGCCAGCAGGTCCCTCTCAGTGGCAACTTGGCTGCGAAGATTATTGTGTTGCATTTGCCACACCCCTCCAACAATTCCACTTCTGTGGAGCTCTGCCGAGAGCGGCGGATCCACGCCATCCTCTGCTCCAATCCATAGAAATATAATGTTGGATTATCCACAAATTACTTCACTTACATTTAATAAACTAATCACTTAACAACTTTACCTCCCCCCTGGTCAAAATCTGCTGGAAGTGGTGCATTTTGACGCTCATCTTGTTCATTTTGTAGCTGGCGTATGAGACCGTCCAAGATGCTTTCATCATTTTCTGTTTGTTGGCCAATAATTTGCTCAACTAATTCCCCATCACCTAGGAAAACATTTGTGTCAATCGCTATATTTTTTATGAACACATGTTGCACATAAACAGATTTCTACCATTTGCAACATAGCCAATTTGAGGCACCAGCTGGTCATCTTTGCAGTTTTCCCTTCCTGGCACAAGGCGTTGGTAACGAGGAGGGTGAGGATTTCCATCGACATCGACCAAGAACGGAGGAGGCATGAGGTGTGGGGCCTGCTGAGTCTGCTCATCCACAACATAGTTATTGGAGTCCCGTATTAGAGGTCTGTAGTCTGTGTGGAAGAACATCTGGTCTGGGATCTAGAAACAAAATCATGATTCTTAGTCAAAAAGATAACAATTTGACTCAATATATTTTATTGCCATTGTATGCTTTATTATCAAGTCTTTATACATTTACATTCAATACACTTGGCATGGTTTTCAACATAGTTTTAAGTAAGTAATATATAGCTCGCCCATTAGAAAGAAAATCACAAGTTGTCTTAAAAACAGTAAAAGTAGAGTTCTAGGCAGACTCTATAAATGTAAGTTGCCACAAGTTCAAAAAAGCAGAATGATAAAGAGCTTTACCCTTTCATAGGCCTGGCTGCAGCCAAAGCCAAAGACGAGCAAATGTCCGTGCGAGTCAGTACCAGCAAAATGTTGCCCATCAGTGGAGAACTTGCAGTCATAAATAGCACCATGTCCTTGGCCTTCAATCTGTTAACAAAGATAATGAAGGCATAAATATGTTCTATTCAACAAAAACATTGAAAAGAGTATTTTGTCGTACCATGTTGAAAAAGTTGCGAATTTTGACTCCTTTTGTAAGGTCCCACATGTAAATGTTTCCATCATGACCAGCGGAGAGGAGGATGCGGGGGTCAGAGGGATGTGATTCAAGAACATATACCTCATCGTCATGACCCTAAACCCAACAATTCAAATGAATACTGACTTCTACAATAACAAATCATATATTCAATTCAACATTTTGATGCAATAGGATTGTATCATCACCTCATGATACTCTGTTACCCCAAAACATTTCAGTTTGTCCATTTACAAATATGAAACCTTTAATATTAGCAAAGTACCATTACTTACAGACAGGTTGTGCAGCAGTTGTCCAGTAGTTGAGTTCCACACTTTGAGAAGGCAGTTTGACACAGCAGTGATGACTGTATGATCTGCTCTGTCCCAGGCCACCATTGTCACAACAAGCTTCACTTTTTCCTCTCCATTAGATGCACAACTCCTGAAAATTACAATGTTATTGTTATTTGAAAAAGAGACATATTAATTTTTTTTTGAAAAACTTTGGCACTAACCCTGGAAGCTTAGTGGTCATGTCCAAAATGATGCTCTTCCACTCCAGTTGCTGGAATTGCCAGATTCTGGCAGTGCCATCACGACTGCCACTTACAAACCTGAGACTGGAGACAAGTGCACAATAGATTAATGTCATTACCAAAACAAGACAAGCAAACGCAGAAGTACACACACCTGTCACTGTTATTGCTGAATTGCACAACGACAACTTTGTCCTGTAAAAATAAAATAAAAAAGAATTAAATGATGAAAAGGGCATTAACCTCAAGAATTATCCTCTTAACTTACTGTATGGCCATCAATTTCAAACACTTTTGTGGGAGTTTCTGCTCCAAGGTAGTAGATTCTTATCATATGATCTGTGCCACCAGTCGCCATAAACATACCACCTATACAGAGAAGAGAAAAAGCATGTAGAAATGAGAAATATATAAAATAAACTTGCCATAATAGGTAGTTTCTATTTCTAGTCCCATAGGCTGATGTTACAACGCAACACAAACAGGGCAACAGTTAATAAAAGTATAACAAAAACAATTGTAAACATTTATTTAACAAATTTAAGCCTAGAAACTTACCACCACTAAAAGAGGATGTGGAAACCTGCACTCCTGGACGGGAACGCTCAAATTTGGTTGGTTGATCACTAAATGAGAAGATATTTTAGGGGGAAAAAAACTATATATACATATATGTTTAATTCCAGTATGATTTTGAGTAGTTACTTGAATTTTAATGTCTCCGAGTGCCACTTCCAAAAGCATACCATGCCATCTGCACCTGTAGAGGCAAGGTACCTCATTTGTCCTTTGACTGCAGGACAGAACTGTAATACAGAAGAAAGAAAATAGGTATTGACATAACACTTTAGTAACTCTTTACAATAAATGTATTGCTTACCTGTATAGCAGTGATGGAAGCCTGATGAGCCTGCAGAATAGATATGGGGGCACACGTCTGGAGACACCACACTCTTATGACTTTATCGCAGCTGGCTGAGGCCAGAAGGGTATTTTCATAGTTGACCGTCATGTCACAGATCTCTGCAGAGTGGCCTCGAAGTGTTGCCAGCAGACGACCATCATCGGTGGACCAAATTTTAACGAGACAGTCATCTGATCCCTGAATTACAACGTGTAGATAAAAAGATAATACATTTTTAATAATTAGCAGCATTGAATATTGTTGAATCTTAATAGACAATCTTACGGTGAATATCCGATGACCAGTCCGATCAAAGGCTATGCAGTAGACAGATGAGAGGTGCCCTAGAATGCGCTTGTGAATCTTCATGTGTTGATATGTTGAAGATGGAAAGACCTGACCAAATCGAGCAACTCCGGTAGCCTGACGAGCCCCCAAAATTGAAACTAAAGGAGAAGCAGAAAGATATGCAATAAATTCCAAATATCAAGTACTGTAAAATGAAAGAAAATGCTACCTACCAACATTAGGAGCAGGTCCATTGCTCACAGGAGGTTCAGGTGGCCTGCCCCGATGAAGAGAAGCAACTGCAGAACCACTGCAAACTTTGTTGGTACAACCTTCATTTAAAAAGAACAATTGTGAAAACAAGTGAAAAAGAATATATAGAAATAAGAAACTATAAAAGATGAAAATAATTTATTATCTGACTTTTTGTGGTGCGAAGCAGGGACTGTTTTCCAAGGCCAAGGAGAGTTTGGACACCTGGAACACTAGGTGGAATCTCTTTCTCAATGAGAGGGCCGATCCGTTTGCAGATACGAAGCAAATAATCATCAGGAATGTGCTGGTTTAAAAAAACCTAGAAATTGGGTAAATATAAATTGATCATACATTTGGAGCAAACATTCTGATTATAATCATCGACAAGGGAAAAACAAGGGCGGGATCCAAGCAGAAAACGTCAAATCACAAAGCACCAAACTATATTTCCGGAATAAGCTGTGCTCCGATTGGCTGGATGTTATACAGAAAGCTCCCTGGCTCAATATCAGCCAATCATAAGGCGCCTTCTCCACGCTGAACGCACAAATGCGACGACCAGCGGTCTATAGTTAGGCCTGTACAAAAATATATAACTTTGATCTGAACATCCAAATAATGACTTATCTCTGTGTCAATTGTTGATATCGTGTTGCATTATCGTAATATAGGAAACGCCACACAATAGAAGTAAAGACAACATCTTTTGTTGACATTGTATCGTGTTGCTCAAGTACACCTACCCAGTCTTCAAAGTTGCGCTTGCTTTTCTTCCCGTCCCAACTCCATCGCTCTGGAATCAACTAAAATATATATAGATATACATGTTTTAGTATTATGAGAAAAAGACCCTTTTATCAAGTTATCGACACAAATATTAACTTTCATTAACAAAAACAGGGAAAACTGATTATCTATGTTGACACATTTGTCATAATAACGGAAGCCACACGTGAGAATAAAAAGATCCGTGCAGCTGAGGTTACCTCATACTCCTCCAGCTCCTCAACCAGAATCTAAACACAGGGACAACTAGCATTAGCATTCATGGCTAGCAAGAGATCTTCTACAAATGTAAAGAGTAAAACACAGAACGAGGGTTCTTTATCACCTGTGCTGATTTCTGACATGGTCCGGACTGCAGGAATCTAGCAATGAGGTAATATAGCTCTGTGAAGACAATAAGGGAGTCGTGTCTTGTTATTGCTCGCTGTGCTAACTTCGGCTAACAGCTACACATCAGTTCTGCTCATCTAACACAACCTACTTAGTTTTCTCACAGAGGCAGATTACATAAACATCAGTCCCCAAAGGATAGTGAAAATGTACTTTTGTGCTTACCTGCTTCTATTTGTGAACATTCCTGTCGTGCCATGACTCGATAAGGGGCGACATTAAGACAAACAGATGCCGTAGCTGCTCGTTAGCCACCGGCTAGCTAGCTAAAGTGAGATTAGCTAAACAGGCTAAAGCGATGGCCTCCTCCTTTCTCAACTTGTCCAACCTAAAGTGGATGTCTAGCGCCCTCTAGCGAAAATTGACCAAGAATCATACATTGCTAGGGCTCTTCTTACTACTTCTGGGCTTATACTATTGAATGTGTAATAAAATGGTATAAATTGTATTGCAGTTATTTTTCTCAAAAATGATGTGATGATCTGTAGGCATCAGACCTGTAAAAATCAAGTGTATTGTTTGTTGTTTCTGTATGTATATTGTAACTGCTTAGTGTCATTAAATGCCTTCTTTCATATCTTTTTGGTTTGGGCCTATTGTATGAAGCAACAACTATAGTTTTGTTATAACATAATGGAAGGAGGGATAATTTAGGCTTGGAGTCCCTGATAAACCAGGAAACGCCAGCCAAGGCAGCACCATCCGAAGAGCCGTCTGCACCGGGAGCAAAGAAGAAAAGAAACCTCAGCATAAGTCCATAAGCCAGACCCCTGCAGCCAACCACAACTCCCAGACTCATTCACTCTTCCAGAGCCAGACACTGGAGATGACAAACAATAAATTCACTCATTCCATACATGGTAGTGATAAGCTACTACTGCAGCCACAGATGCTCTGGGGCAGACTGATAGAAATGAGGCAACCAGTATGTGTCATCCACCTCTTCTAACGATACTAGTCATTCATATACTCACCAGACTCATAGGCGGCACAGTGGCAAAGTGAAAAGCACATCGTCCTGTGTGGAGTTTGCATGTTCATCCCATGTCTGCGTAAGGTTCCTCTGGGTACTCCGGTTCCACCTGAACAATGGCTGAGGGTTGAATGAGTCCGTTTTCATCTACAAATCTACAATCTGGTGCATTCATCCAAATAAAAAATAAATAAAAAATGGTATAGCAATGTGAGTGAAGTGTCTTGCCTAAGGACACAACAACAGTTTGGCACTTTACAGCTGCCCCACCGAGGGCTGAACATTTCGTCTGATACACTGATAGTTAGTATTCACGCAGGTCTCCCAGCATAGTACTAACCAGGCCCAAACCTGCTTAACTTCAGAGGTCGGATGAGATGTGGCTTTTTACCAGTGGGTGGCGCCCATCAAACCTTAAGTCGAAAAAAGTGCTTATTTTTTGTTTTTGTATAAAGATAGAGCGATGCAGTTAAAACAACAAATTTGGCAAAGAGTTACCCTATGGGGCTTTAAAGTCAGCCGGTCGTTTTGGCTTTCGCTCCAGGAGGAGGCTTCAGTGGGCGGGGATAATTCGTTGGACGCGCGCTGAATGCAAGCTCCCCATTCAGCGTCAGAAGGAAAGAATCAATATTATCAGCGTTTCATTACTATTTATTACTGGTGTCTCAGCGTACTCAGTGATTATATGATTGGACTACATTTGAGAGGAGCCGTTCTGTCTACTCCTCGGGAATGTCGCTAGACCTAGTTTCATAATAAACTTTTGGATTACAGGACAGTTCGCAGCGCGCAAAGCCCCATATGTTTGTGGTTTTATCATCCTGACCTCCACTGAAACAAGGTAAGTTAGGTCCAGTTCACTTGTTTGAATTGTGTGAGTGAAAAGAGATGGGGAAAGGGACAGTTTGTGAACTTGGGCGCAAGTTCATACACTGTCTGACAATATCACTGACAGCTCAAACGGTTGTGGGATTTATAGGTCAAATTTATAATTTGAGTATGAGCGAACAATATATCAATGTAAATATGGATTACATTTGTAGATAGATGTACTTTATCGTTTGGTTAAGCCATGCATTGGTTAAAGTTACCAAACTAAATTGTTAATTCAAGTAATAAAGAAAAAACAAATGTCCCTTTTAAAGATAACATAAACAAGTGGGAAAAAGTGGAAACCTTACAAAAGATAATTACCCATTCTATCTATTGATTTTAATTATGTATTACTTATTTTGAATGTAATGAGACTATATGGCCTCTTTAAATATAAAAGTGAGAGTCAGTGCTTTGCTTCTCTGGTCAGATTGAACTGTACTTGTATCAGAAGCAAACTACAAATTAAAACATAAAAATAATGAGTTCTGATCTTCTGTGTGCAGTATTTGCCCAGTGAGGTGTCAGTGTGAGGGGTTAGGGGGGCGATAGGCTGTTCTCTGACTAAACTGCTCCATATGCGCTTCTTACATCATTCTGCCTCATGATGACTCAGTCCTCATGCAATATTTTCCCCTTTTGAGAAGAATATTTTCCTTTTGAACATGAGCACAAACCAGCTTTACAAGTACAACCAAATTGTAGGAATGGAAAGCTTATATTTATGTCACAATCCTCCATAATAGTATCCTTTTACAATATTCATTAGAATGTATTATCTCTGCCCATATTTTAGCCAAGGATCTGGTACCCCCTCACATATAATAAGGTTTATCTTTGAAGTAACTGGAAACAATCAGATAACTCACTTGTTATGTGACAATTATGGCAATGTTTTATGTTTTATCTAACTGTACTAATCACTGTTTGGCCTTATCCCTTCTTTATGTAGTAATTTATTTATTACAGGCAAGTGTTTTGATCTGAACTTGTGCTTTGAATGGTAGTTAACTGATGACACAGAGCTCTATCTCTGATGTTACAGCGCATGTTGTGAGAAAGTAGGTTACTGGGCCATGTCCTGCAAGCTTAAACTGAGCACAGTCTGAATACTGCTGGAGATGCTTAGTGTGACTCGGCATGCATAAATGGTTTGTGGCTGTGCTGTGATGAAGTCTCTGTTTTGCCACTCTGTCTCTTTAAGAACAGAGAGCGCTGCTCCACATAGAACCAATGTTGAATGTTCAACCATTATTTCTCTTCCACATTAATGCTGTAAAATCTGACAACAGGTTGGCTCACGTCACAGGTCGCAAGATATTAGGACACAGTTACCTTGTATTACAGAGGCATTATCTTTGTGTTAAATAACCCATTTACCTATATACCTTTCATATCCCATTTTCATCTAGGTCTACTGTGCATTCGGGTAACCACAAGTATTAGCTAAAGTATTCTTGTAACAGGGTAGCCACAGTGTCTTTGATTCATAAATATTGTATTTAATTAGACCATTTTAAGTCTTCAAAAGCATTACATTGACAACAGATGACCAAAATGGCATTCAATTATTAATATCATAGCTATGTGAAAGGCACATGAGTGAAAAGAGGTGAAGAGACCAATCAGTGAGCTTTACTTTTCAAACCCTCACACTGTTTATATCACATGATCGTGTCTTTTGATCTAAATCCTCAATATCAATCAATATTAAGATTATGCATTTTTTGTATCCTGCATGCTCAAAACTAGTATTCTGAATATATTCTCTGTTCATTTAGTTGCTCCAGTCTGTAGTTACTGTATCACACCGTTTAATCTCTGTGTTATGGTGTGGTTGGTTGTTATTATAAAATATGAAATGAATGTGCACTGTATATGTTTTGGCTGAATAGTAGAGGATACACAAGTTGTACTTTTTTGTCTGTATTGGACTTGATGCTTGAATTGATAGACATAAAGACTTAAAGCAAATGACGCCAGGGATCCAAACATGAGCAAAGGCTGAAAACAGTATTCCACTATATCACAACTGGAATGATTTTCTATCTCTGGACTGTTGGTTAGCCTTTTCTATTGATCTAATCCTAAGTTATCAGTTTTACCGACTGACTGAATGACTTGACTGTTAGATCTGGTCTGGTCATATAGACAGAGATCTCACTCGCCCCAACATTATCCCTACTTTTCGTTATTTGTTCACCTCTGTATTGTTTTATTCTACCATTCAGACGTAATAGAATATTACATATTCACATTAACCCTGGTAACCTTTTGACTGTGACAGACAAAATGTTCATCTGCTGTTATATAACTGTTCCTACAGACGTCATAGTTCTCATTGCTGGAGCTGATCTCTTGCTCCGTCTCACACAGTCTTTGTAGTCCACAGCTTCAGGCTACGCTCATCTGGCCCATGGTTTAGCATTTTTGTATGCAATGTTCTATTTATCGAGAGTTGGCTCATTGATTGGTATGCTATGCTTTAGTTGAATGAAAGAGATTTGTATGTACAGTATGTATGAATGATGTACATACTCAGATAACTGAATAAAGGTGTGGACCGATAATCTGCCCAGTGTGTGACCCAGATGTGTGAACCACATAATGAGAAATGCCGAAATAGTCTAATTGCTGCTTTTATTCAGTGAACTTTTTAATCACCAGTGTCAGAAAGCAAGACTTATATCACTGCCCTACAAATAATTTTGCTTCGATCCAGAAAACATAATTTGCCTTAAGTATCTTCTGCCTCTTTGCAAACCTCTTAAATGTGACTGCCAGGTAAATCATAATTAATCAAAAAATGTTTTTATCACAATCGCAATGTGACATTATTTACAAACATCAAATTATCTTGTTGTATACAAATATCAAAAACCTAATAATTGAATTAATAGTCTTTCTTTTAGTGCAGAAGATAAAATTAGATCTTCTGTTACATAAATCGCTGCCAGCAGCGTATAATTTGAATAACATTTTATGAACAAATCGGAACAAAACATTTGTTACTTTTTCAGACTCTCTTATTAACTGGAAAAGCTGATCTGATAGAAGCCAAATATGCATCAGAACCAAACATTTTTGACATCTAGGAACTCATAACATGTATTTTAATAAAAGATAGGATAATATATAACTTACCTTTCAATATGAATATTATTATTGTTATTTCTTTGTGTTGTTTCAAAGCCCATTTTAATTATTGATATTTTTATGTTTCAGTTTCCCCTCGAATTAGAATTCTCTTTTTGTATCACTTATTACTTATTACTATTATTCAAACATCTAAACTGAATGACGCCAATCGAATAATAATCGCAATGTGTATCTGAAAAAAACTCCAATTATGA